AGCAAATGAATGAAAACAAAATGCCAATGTCATAATTACAACCTACCAAAGTTATATGTATAATTTTAGGCAGCTACCTTGTTCGAGGAATGTATCCGTGAATATCCACATAACAGAACAATATCCCATACATCTGCAGCCGTACAAAGAAACATTTTCGATGTCAAGTGTCTCTGGAACAATCGAATATTTTAAAATATGTATAGCGTTTCGGGATATTATGACCCGTGTTCGTTTCTCAACTGACAACTTGGTTTTTTTCAGTTGTTTCACATAGGTGTCAAGTCCCAAAGGTCAGCTGAGAAGCCCACATGACAACTATTTTCATAATATCCACGGTTCTTAAAAAATCCCTTGAGTTAGATAACAATGAGCAATCAATCAACGTATTATCGGTTAACCTTTGAACATAGTATGTTGTTTTTACGCCATGATATGCGTGTATTCCCTTTGCTTTAGTAAACCTGGACATGTAAACACTTACTTTTGACATATCCACTGTGCAAGATAACAGCGATTAATCAATCAACGTATTTTCTGTTGATTCTTTGATGGCTAGGAATGATCCGTTGATTTACATACAATTCATCTCTTGCTTGGCTGCCACGTGCATATTACAAAACACACATTTCACCTCACTTCAAACCTGAATTTAGTTTATGAATAATTACCCCAGACACAAGAAATGCAAAATAGGAATCTTTACCCGCTAATCTGAGCGGTGCTACCACTAGTTATACCTGTAATAAATTCATTAAGTGAGCATCAAGTGAATGACGTCAAATAGACAAGTGTAGGGTTATACCAGAAAACATGGATGACAACAAGGGAGTAGTAACCGTATTAACCACGCAATCCGAACATGCTTTCACTGCAGGTTTTAGTTAAACGCCTTAGTCAAATTACCTTGTTTTGACTTTGCCAAACCGATCAGATATTCCGATTCATATTCATAAAGAATTAGATCAGCAAGAAGCGGAACACAATTGGTTACTGTATGCTTGCAAGCACCATTCCTTGTCCTGGCGTCCAGATCTGCCATTACAATGATATGACAACCAGGATCATCTGTTTTGATTTGTGTGTTGTCACTGTCCAACATGTTCAATACAGATTCTGCTGAATGTACACTTGAGTTGAGGTGTATAATATACTCGTGCCAAAAGCAAAGGGGTGTCGTTTGTATCTGTTGTGCTACAGTTTGTATGTAGATCACAATATGATGCAAGCTTGTCTTTTATCAACAGCAAGTGTCCTCCAGAGTTTCAAAAAGCACCAACAGGTTTTTGTCTGGTTTTGCTGTATTGTGTGTATCCAGGAAGACTAAATATATCATTCTGACCTGCTAAAGTTTCCACAAGTCCTATGACATCATAAGAGAGGACAAAGTCAATAAATGAGAGTAATTCCAGTTTCTTCTTTAAACCTCCAATATTCCACACTGTACAGTTAATAACAATTGTGTCATTAGTATTGCTAGGGCGTTTACCTACTTCATATTTTCACTGTGCTCCCGTCGACTCTGGATTTCTAGGTTTGAAAGTTCCCTCACACGTAAGTTGGCCACATCAGTCGCATCTACCTCGTATAGTTTATTGTCTATCTCTAGTTTGTCATGTTTCAAAATAGAAAACTTGCCTTCTTCCCTCACTTCCTCCAAGAAGGGCTTGAGGGTGTGTCAAGTACGTCACACTGCATCTGTATAATCATGGGAGATCCTTATGTTATGACTTTTCAGTTTCTTTTCTTGGTTTATGATAGTGGCTTTCTGTTTTGGAGTCCTGAACATAGCTAGAATTGGCCTTGGTCCACTTGATTTCATTGGTAGCCGACTCCCTCTTTCAAATATTATTTCTTCTTGTATTTCCATTTTTTCAACAATCACACTGAGCAGTTTATTTTCTGTCTCCTCTGTTAACTCTCCTCCTAATGTCTCCTCGACGTTATAAACAATGACAATGTTTTATCTCTGCTGGCTTTCCAGTATGTCCACTTTATGACTTAAGTTAGTAAGTTGGTCCCGTAAGTCACTATTTTCATCGGTTAGACTCTTTCTCTACTTGAGTTATCATAGTGCTCATTTTCTCGAAATTAGTTGACATGCCTCTCCCCATACCTTGTATTTCAGCCATCAGTTCTTTCAAGCTCGGTTCCAGTGAGCTGTCCAATGTAGCTTGTCTTGTAGTTGTCCTGATCCGGGGCCTGGGTTGCCCTCAACATCACTGCCCAATATAATATGCATAGAGACGCACACTAAGTGTCCTGTTTTCAGTGCCAGGCTTGAGCCTCACGGCATGTGCAACATGGTGACAGGCATGACTGACCGTCGTCTTGCTCTGTCACTCATAAATGCCTCATACGGCGCCAGGAAACATCCAACACGTCCTCTATAGGTATCCAAATCGCAGCCCATTTTATTCTTAATTACCACAGTAACTCACCAGGTTTTGTTGGTAGTTTTGACAGCTCAAATCAGTAAATTCGACGGAGCTTGGTCATATACGTGTTGTCACCCTCTCTCCAGGTGGCGCTCCCCCAATGTTGAAACATCATGAGACATACGGTCCTAGAACCAACAACAGCCTTGAAGGTTTAAACAGTCCTCTGAATGCCACTCTGCCCTGCCGATATCCAAACATTTTCCGTCTTATCGAGATCATGAAGTGAATCGAAAAGGCAGACACAATGAAAAGTGTTTAGTTGGACTGCTCCTCCACCTCGGAGTTTCCTGAGAGATAGAAAACCGCCTTGGTAGACTCAAAGACCAGTTGACTCAATGCAGTATTTGAATGCTGAGAGCAGACTGGTAAAATTGGGTTGACGCTTGTTAAATTATTTGAATCATTTGTGGTGAAATTGGGTTGACCCTTGATAATTTATTTGTGTGACTATTAAAGTCTATGACTATTATTGAAGCCTATTTTTTTATTATGTCGTATATTTTCGTGAGGTGTCTGACAAATCAAATGGAATATGATCGGGACTAATCCATGTTTCGACTTGGGGGACATGCATTGGACATTGGGAGAAGTCAACTGTGACATTTGTGATTTTAAGGTGCGTGACAAATTGGGTGAGACTGCCTCTCCACGCATCTGATCGGTACCCTGTCAAAGTGTTGTTTTAGCTATTCTCATCTTATTACTGTCATACAGTTGCTAAGCTAAGCCGCTTGTGTACTTGCTCTGATGTAATTAATCAGTTATCTTTGCCCATGCACATAGGGTTTATCTGATCTTTTATTATCACCTATTGGTATAATTAGCTGTTATTAATAAACATGTGAACCATGTTTTCATCATTATATTATTTTTTTTTGACACCCCTGTTCATTGTAGAACAGCTCCATGACAGTTCCAAAACTCAACACTTAGTCATACACATTTAGATGTGAGGTGAAATCGGTTTAAAGCAACGTTGAAACGTTGTAGATATCCCTTGCAAGCACGTGTGTGCATGGCTGATTGTATTAGTTTCACTAATAGCTTGTGCTCACAGAGATGCCATGCAGCAGTGTTAACATAAATACACCACTCAGACACAGTGTACTGACTCCGAGTCAACCAGTCATTGTCTAAACCCATTTATGCCGAGCGCCGGGAAGGGTAACAATACAAATTTAAAGCAAACCGTAATCCCCCATGAACAACGAACACAAACTAGCCCTGATCCTGATATCTATAAATGGGCCTCCGCGGTCCTCCCTTGTCGGTTTTAGTGTAAACAACAAAATCTTAATCATAAGAAATCTCGACTAAAGTACGATTCCGACTATATCATAAGATGTGTTTATGAATCAAAATGAAATAGAGATCATACCAGCTGTTTATGAAAAGGTGAGCGTATCCTGCCCAACCGAAGGCACCCATCACAAACACATGCAAAGGCAAGTCTATTGTTACCTGAAAAAACAACACGGGAACATATTGTACGAGTCACAATAGGGAATTGCATCTACCACCCAAAGCGAATTACAAAAGTTACTGGGTTGTATGCTGTGAACATGTACTCACTCAGATAGATTTACCAAAATCTGAAAAAAAAACATTAATCAAAGATGCCATCGCCTACTTCCTATGAGTGAGTGAGTGAGTGAGTTGGGTTTAACGCCGCTTTTAACAGTATTCCAGTTATATCGCGGCGTGTCAGCTTTATGTGGGAGGAAAGCCTGAAGTGATGCAGGTCTCAGACGTTTACCACTTCGGTGAAACCCACGAGCAGGGGTATGGTGCTGACAAACCTAGAAACATAATCGGGGTGAACCGGGATTCGAACCCACAATCATAGGTTTCTGGCGTGCCCAAGGGACGCAACTCTGCACAGCGAATCGCGGCGCCTTAGACGACTTGGCCACCCGTGCCCCCTACTTCCTATGAAAACATGTAGTATCTTCCTGTGTACTGTTGTTTGACGATGTAAAATGAATATCTGTTTGACTTCTTAAGGGCAAATAAGGTACACCCAGCTTGTTTTATTTTTATTGAAAACTGAAAGTTGAAAGAACTGTTGTTAAATGTGATTACATGTGTGTCTATTTACCCATCACTCATTCTTGCAACAGTATGCAAAAGGTGATCTGTGGCTGGGTAGTTTGTACAATAATAATGGTTCAACGAAGACTTGGGAAATGAATTTGCAGCCACAAGACCCCTACAATGTTTGAAATGTTGTAGATTTATTTATTTTCAAAGATACGATGTGTAAGATATCCACCAGCAGTAGAAAATTACGCGTTTTCTTCTTTTAATTGTTAATCCGTAAAATGGCTGAAATATTTAGGCTTTTTGTAAATTGGCTATGTTACACATTACAAGAGACATATATACATCATTCTCCATGTATTTTATACCGAAACTACAGAGGTATGCATGGTACGTAAAAGAAATAGACATTGTTATTAAATTCAGTTCAGACATATTTGTAATAAGACAGCGTTCCCGCGTTATCCCCCGGAAGTGACGCGTGTGTCACAGAGAAGGAAGTTAAATGTCCAGGTAGGTGTGTTGTGTCTCGTCTCTCACTTTGTCGCCCTACACACAGATAACTGTTCGATAATCAGGGTCACAACGTCCACGTATATGTCAATATATCATGTATATATCAGGCTGCTGAAGGTGGTGCTTATACCTTGATACGTACTGCATATATCCTGAATGTTAGTGTTAGCTGACTACCACACATTCCTACTTTCGGTTTACAGCGTGGCCGGGCTTCATGTACACAAGTATTGACCCACTTTTACTGTTAAAGTGTATAATAGAAAACCCTCGGCCGTGTCGCCGTGTTTAACAGAGGAAGGGTGTGTAGGTAGGGAGAATTTACGTTTCAAATTTTACGTTTGTAATGAAATAATTTAATTTTTACGGGAGAAAACTACGCAAAAAGTATATAATAAATAGGATATTTAATGTGACTCGTTAAATATTATATATCTCTCATCTCGTGACGGATGACAAGGAAATATTTTCACTCATGGCCATGCCACTCGTGTTACAACGTCTCATATTACACAATTGTAAAATCACGTCACATCCCGGAAGTGACCTGCGTGTCAACAGCGAAGGAAGCTACCTGTCAAGGTAGGTGTGTTGTGTCTCGTCTCTCACTTTGTCCCCCTACACACAGATAACTGTTCGATAATCAGGGTCACATCTTCCATGTATATGTCAAGACACTATAGGGCTGCTGAAGGTGGTATCTATATATATATTCATACAGTGTATAGACGGGATATTAGTGTTGACTGACTGCCACACATTCCTACTTTTGGTTTACTATGAGTGCAGTCGTTTTTCATACAAGTCATGGCCCACTTTAACTATTGTTATATTGTGTATAGATAAACCCCGGTCGTGTCGGATAACCGTTGACGCGCGCTGTGTGCAAACATGTACCTCTTAACACTAGACTGCTATTGATTGTACTTCAATGACATATCCTGAATAGAAGCACACGTTGTTACTGTGATGGAATTTGTGGTCGCTTTGTGATCCTGAATGCAGATTGAAGGAAGTGTGGTATGTAATGTATATGGCGTATCTACATGCACATGTATAGTGAGGATATGCGTCATTGTCGTGTGCTGCAATTAGTTAGTGTCAAACGGTTATCTAGCCAGTGATATCAATCCTAAATTATTTTGTTGATATTAAGTGAGTGAAGATGGCTACAGGGAGGGGATCTCAAGGGGCAATATATTTTGTTTGTTTGTTGTTTAACGCCGGACTCCAATATTCTAGCTATATGACGGTTGTCTGTCAAACATCAGACCAGACAATCCTGTGATTGACATTATGAGTATCGATCAACGTAGCTGAGATATAGATGACAGCGAGTCTGACCACCCGATCCCGTTAGCCACCTCTTACGACAAGAACAGTCGCCTTTTACGGCAAGCATGGGTTTCATTTCAAATGTTGCAAATATTTAAATTTTATACATGTAAACAATCTTGGATAGCTTCGTGTACACTTGCTCTTTTTACGTACTTCTATGAAACGCGTGTCTATTTTGTGCTGTAAATGGAACAGGCCATGTTATGATGGCATGGTGCCAAATATGACACAGGCTGGCTATGATTATTTGTGTGCATGTTTTATATCATACTGAGATGTTTCCCGATAGATAAGAACAAAATTGATTGATGCGTGTGACTACGTTGATTGGAAACAGCTCTTAGTCCCTCATTTCAGTTTTTTGTCTTTCAGAATGGACACCTTCCCGAAGTGTTTGGTCTGTCAGCAGCAGTTTACTCTGAAAGGTCCAGTCCCCTACTTACTGCCCTGTCTACACGCTGTGTGTGAGACGTGTGTGATATCTGCAGCTGGTGGTGTGATATCGTGCTCTACATGTCAGAGGAAGGTCAACCTCACAGACACAAGCCTCAAGAGGGATGCAGTCAGACAGAAGGAAATATTCCACCTCACAGTCAAACATCGCCCCACAGAGCTATTCTGTACAAATGACGATGACGGCAACCAGGCTGTGTGTTGGTGTCAGGAGTGTGAAGAGTTCCTCTGTGAATACTGCCAGAACATGCACAGCAGCGTCAAACTTACCAGGAAACATGTACTTCAAAATGTCGGTAGCATGGAACCGACTGTCTCGAACTTTCCTCCTTTTTGCAGTGTCCATAAATACGACCTCCTTTATCTGTTTGATAAAAGCTGCAAGAAGTTAATCTGTGCGAGATGTAGACTTGATGACCACGCAGACCATGATGTTGAGGAGCTGGATGTGGTTGCTGATACTGTAACAAAACAGCTGAACCATCATAAGAATGAGCTATCAACGTTACAGGCTCGCCAGCAATCACACATGCAGAGCATCAGACAGGGAACCGAATCCACCGACAGAACGCACAACTCTTTGATAGAAACTATTGGTCACACATTCCAATCTCTGAGATCACAACTTGACCAAAGAGAGAAGGAACTTCTGATCGATCTTAAAAGTCAGACGAAGGAGACCAAGGCAAATCTACATGCTCAACTCACCACCTGCAAAGAAGAATGGAAGACATGCACTGGGCTTTTAGACTACATCGCCAAAGTCCTCTTCTATGCCTCAAAGTCAGACCTCGTGGAACTGGAGAGTTATATAGGGGACATAACTCGGAACTATCTAGAAACTGCTGCGCCTCAAACACATGTCGTACCTACAGCTGTCTTCAACACCAACAGCTTGTCAACACTGAAATCAAACATATCAGTGTTTGGCGCCATTTTGCCAAGGGAAGTGGATGAGGAATCTGTAAAAGGTATTCACATTGAACATTATTGTTGTTGTATTCATTCTTTGTATGTGTACAATGTTTGCAAGTTCTTGTGACATTCTATTTCGTTAGAGACCCTCTTTTTTCTTCATGTGTTTCTCTATCTAAGACTCATGCTTTTTCAGAAGATTTAATGTTCGTAGACTGCACATAACATGTTCCTGGTGTTAATCGTCAGGAGTTATTCGTCTGTTGTTTCAGACAAGGATACTCAGACTGATGATGACTTTATGGCAGACTTGGAAAAGAAACACAAAATGGTGAGTACAATCAGTGTTGGTACATCATGAATTCTTGCATGCACACTGACCAACAAACTGACCAACTACAGGTTGATCCAAAGCAAATTTGCCTCAATCGTCATAACTATGTTTTGTCATATTGAGAGAAAGTGCATCAGACCATTTAACGCTTGTATTTTCGCAGGACCTGACAGAGCTGAAGACAAAAATTGCTTCAGATGAGAAACATATTGAAAGCCTCAAAACACTTACAGACAAGCTCAATGTCGAAATCAGAAGCTTGAAATCGGTTTGTTTTTATTACCTAACATGTACACACCTTTAGACGTGTCAGCGTCTATCATTTTATTCAAATATGTTGTGTGAGAGTGTCATGAATTCTTTATATTGATTGCAACCGTTAATTATTGCATGTCTTGGAAATCCTAGACCAATGAGATGCCATGACAGGCACGTGCTTTGTTATATAACACATATGCTATATTTTCAGTGCATTGAGGAGAAGGAAACCACAGAGAAGAGCGCCTCAAAAACCATGGATGTCTTACTTGGTAAAGTTGTATCACACTTCGTCTGTAAACCTCCCTTCATCACATAATATCTCCATGTCCGAGAGTGGTAAACAGAGTAAAACCCACACACGAAGTCCCCCTGTCTCATCACACATGTATATGGTCATGTATATATTGATGTTACAGGTGTGGCCACAGATTGCGGTGTTCACCTGCTGAAGTCAGAAGTTGTAGACAGATCTATGGTGCTGAAGTGTGAGTACATTTATCATGTATCTCCTTTCATATAGGTTTTGATGTACGTCGTGTTCAAGTAATATAAAACGTCAACACGTATGGAACATTTAGTCACCCACTACGATTGAGGGGCATAGAGTAGCTAATTGGCTCATGCTTGGGCTACTGAAGGTCAGGCGCTGGCAGTCTTTGTGTGTCATTGGCTTGTTTACCTGGCCCATGTTAATTACTTACAGGACACGTTGGTAACTGTGTACAACATCAGTTATTATAGCTTAATGTTGCTACATGATTAATTCACAACGCATTGGTGTGACGTTGTTTTATTAATGATTTTTTGTATACTCATATGTGCACGGGGCCGGTTTTCGGTTCTCTGCAGGAAGTGGCAACATGGAGTCGATAGAAGGCTTGCGGTATATAGACATTGCTTTAGACAGGTAGATGTATATACAAGAAGCACTAGGTGCCAGGTCAGCACATTCTGTTGGTGCCACGGATCGCCTAACCTACCACTAGCTAGGCGAAGGGTGCGGCAATATTTCTTTTTCACAAGTCCAAATATTTCATATCCATGGTCAACAGACACGGATTTAGTCAACAATATAAACAACAGTAAATAATGAGTGACAAAGTTGCACAGCTCGTTCAGGATGGCTGACAGTCGACGTACAATACAATTGAGATTTGCATATTTTAAGTAATTACAATTAAGATAATAGACATATATATTTTATGACTACAGGGTAATTCGCCTTTGTTCATGCAGACAAAGGTCGCTATAACAAATCTTACCCACAATATCATCGTCTTGGAATTGTTTACCTTAAAGTGAACCAATGACAGTTGCCATAATAAGACATTCTCCCCGCCTATGGTATCACGAAAAATATTAGCCAGAGGGGTGAGTGAGTATATTGTGATTAACGCCTCTTTAAAAATCAATTCTGTTATACAATTTGGTAGCAGCTGAACATAGGTGAAAACCCCGAAGTAATGCATGTCTTAGACCTTCAACCTTTTGATGAAGAACCCATGAGCGGGCAAATGATATTCTGGGCTAATTTTGAAATCAAACCAAAGATTACACAATTCTGGCACGCCTCGTTATAACGAATAAGTTAGAAGTAAAACAAACATAGTATATGTATGTGTGGGTGGAGCGGACAAAGTGATACAGGCATTAGGCAGTTATCATGTATGAGGTACTGACAAACATGATCAGGGAGAATCTTGGATTAGAATCCACGAGCATAGGTTTCTGAAATTCGTCAGCAAATTGGGGTGCCAGAGGCGACTTGGCGACCAATGCCACGACATAAAAGCCATTTGGTGAAATTAACTGCTTACAATTTATGAGATGAGGGGGTGGGGTGGGGGTTGGGGTTGGGGGGGGGGGGGGTGGGGGGGGGGGGTGACAGTGGTTTCAGTGGTTTCCAACAGTGTTTCCAACTGCAGCTATAATTTATCGAGGAATTGAGCAGGAAAATAACGACTGAAATATTCTAGCAACATGACAGCGGTCTGTAAATATTCGAGATCGAGTCTGGATCAGACAATCCAGTTATTGACATTATGAGCATCGATCCAACACGCAATTGGGATGCATGCATCAACTATGTCAGCGAGTCTGATCACCCGCTGTGAAGAAATGAGCGAGGTAAGAAGTGAGGGGGGTGGGGAGGGTTTGGTGGTGACAGTTGTTTCCAACAGTGTTTCTAACTGCAGCTGTAACTTATCGAGGAAATGAGCAGAAAAATATAGACTGAAAGCATAATCACGAGCACGGACATTGGGGACACACAAACTGCGAGCACCCTGGCCACCCGACCGCCATCTCAGACGACGTAATGGGGACCTTGGAGAGAAGAAAGACGATGCAATCACTGTAACGCCAGGCAGACATTTTTACACGTTTGATGCACCCTCGGGATGTTCTGTATGTCGTGCAATATCTGCGAAGTTCGTTCTACTGAATATCTGAAACATTTTAACATAAGCCTCACAATAATAAAAACCGAGCCAGTATGAAGTTGTCAGTGTTAATCGTGAGTATCATGTCCAGGCAGGTACAGTGGAGTGTTTAACCGCTTAATGGGTCATGTTGTTACCATTGACACTGTTGTGTATGGTGATGTGCGTGTGTGAATAATTTCAAGTACATCAATATTCTCGTGCCGATAAAGTCACCTTGTTACTGAGACGTGACAATATAGTCTCACAGACCTGGTTCTAAATGACCTGTGTGTCGCTCACGTGTGAATACAAATGTGTGTTGTGATGTGTTAAGCAGATTATCGTTCCAGTGTAATGAAATTGCTATTGCAACACGTTGAACATTATTTATACACTGTTTGTGACCCTAGTCCCCCAATACGTGGATATCAAGGTTCACACATTAAGATTTAAGACACTGGAAATTCTGCATGTATGTTTTGTCATTGTTCTTGCATCCGCCTCCTAACCTGCCGACATATCAACTCTTTTATTATTACTTCCTTCGTTTAAACATTATAGACGGCGACTTGCGAAACGGACAATTTACAGGAGCTAATTTATTTTAAAGGCGAAATAGAGTTTGAAATATTGCATATAGCATTACTACAAAACAATACCAAAAGTATCGAGTGATTGGAATGAATGGATGCGACATAGGAAGGACTAGATGTAACATACCAATCAACAGAACATGTTGGCGGTACATTGTAAGGGTACAAACAATCGTGGTAGGCGACATCCGTGTGTGGTAAAAAACTGTCGTTTATGCTCGACAAGGTCCGAATCAATCTCCCAATGACAATTTGCAGATTTCTTGTCAATTAATGTTGCAGCGGCTGGCTCAATTCGGCTAACGGCAGCCGTTGGCGTCGGCGTACACGTCCCCGGATTATGCGTTATAGGGGAGAGATCAGAACTCATGGCTGCTCATTGCAATCTTGTGATGTTTTGCTGTTGGAGGTAGTCATGAACGATACATTTTCGTCTTGAAAGGCAAAACGTGGACTAGCATGCAGCGAAAACGGAACTACTATCGCCGCTAGCATGCTATCTCGGTAGTACTGTCCAGTGACTGTCTTACATGTATGGACAATATGCAGTGGCGTTCTGGCAGTCATAGTGATCCTGCCCCATATCAGTACAGAGCTCGCAGCGATTTTGACAAAATCAAGAATGACCCCCTAGCCAGTGCACGGAGGATACCCACGTGAGATGTTTCGGGTGTGTTGGGGCGTTAGGTTTTGGTTCCAAAAACTGTTCCATCTCTGGCATCCATATTTCTGGCGTGTCCAATGGACGCAACTCTGCACAGCTAATCGCGGTTTTCTTCTGACGACCGTTCGTAACATTTCTCATCATCATGTACAGTTTTGGAGATCATAGACCGTGGCGATAGGTATAGTTACAATCATAGAAAACTGAAGCAAATGATATTGAAATATCACACCATCAATGAGGCATTATTCAAAATACAAAATGCACTTAGTGGTGATGAGTAAAATATGACATAGATCTTGGGTGAGGTGAGGTGAAATTAGGTTTAACGTCGCTTCCATGATTATTGCACTTGTGTGTGGCTGCTTGAAATAGTCTGATGCCGATTTATATGCTTGCTCACTTAGATACCATGTGGCAGTTTAACATGAATACCCCACTCAGACACAGTATACTGACTCCGAGCCGACTAGTCCTTGTTATAGCCCCTTAATGTCCAGCCTCAGACAGGGTAACAACAAGTGTCATCTTTTAACATCTTTTCGTATGACGCGGCCGGGGATTGAACCCCGGACCTTAAGCTGGCGAAGCTCTAGTAAATAGCGTTATTGACTTGTATTTACAGGTTATATTTTGCTAATTGGGGTTTGCGTCCATTGACAAAAATTATTTAAAAACATTTCCTATTTCATAATAATCAATAAAATTATCCCTACTTGTCACCGACCAGTTATCGCCATTTTTCATGTTATTTCTGAAATATCCCACGTTCAAAGTTAACTGTGCAATAAACTTTGCAAATGGGCAAATGTGCGTATTTCTGTCAGTGGAAAAATCCAATTCTGCTAACGTAGACGGTAGCCGTTGACGTCGGCGTACACGTCCCTGCATTATGCGTTGTAGGGGAGAGATCAGAACTTGCGGCTGCAAGCTCCTCGCAGCGATAGCCCGTTCGCGGAACTCTCTATACCATCGCTGCCACCAGTCAATTATTTGAGGGACATACATCTGTTGATTTTCTAATCCTGACAGTCATTTAGTTTCAACATTGCGTACAATCATACAAATGTTGTTTGTTATGTCATGGAAAGAGTTAAGTCGCTTTTATTTAAATCTTTCTGTCATTTCTCACTGAAAATACTATCTCACTGCTTTAAATATCACTTTTTCATTTTTCATAACCTGCATCGTGAAACTCTAGTAAACAGCGTTTTTGATTTTTATTTACAGGTTATATTTTGCTAATTGGGGTTTGCGTCCATTGACACATTTTTTTGAAAACATTAACTATTTAATAATAATAAACTTATCCCTACTTGTTAACGACCAGGTATCGCCATTTTTCATGTTATTTCTGAAATATCCCACGTTAAAAGTTTACTGTGCAATAAACTTTGCAAATGGACAAATGCGCGTATTTCTGTGCGTAGAAAAAAATCATTAGCTTCCTGTTATAACGCGACAACAGGGAATCAAAATAGTGGAAAAAGAAATGTTCCGTTGACAAACTGTACCAGTTATCGCCATCATCTAAACAGCACGTGCCACGTGATAAAGCACACCGCTTCAGTTTTACAAATTACATTTTTTTATTTTCTCTGGTATCGCAAGCTGTTTTTATATTTGTTACAATTAATAAGAAATGCTTTTATCAATTTGTCGTCTGCAAACTGACGTAGACCAATGTGCATGCCACACTATGTACTATGGATTTCGCGATATATACAGGGTTATTCACATTTGGAAAATAGCTCAAATAGGTTTTAGAAATGTTTTTGGGGGAAGAAATGACAGACAGAAAGTAAGCTTTGACAGATCTGAAAGTGCATCATCGTGTTGTTGGATTTTTGTTTCCGCGTGAGTTAGTCACGTGACACCGCCCGCGTGTCTCTTCTAAAGTTGTATTTCAGCAAGGTGGTTATAGGGTATGTTTTTTAATATTTATTCACAGGAGTAATTTTTGTTTATCATTTGTAGATAAATATTTCTCTCTTCTAATGAAACCGAGCAAAGGTAAAACGAGATGCGATCACGTGCGCGCTGTAGCGTGGACTAAGCGATAATTGGTCCTCGTCGACAGCTGGTCACTGGTCAATTTTCAGGGTAACATTCGTGTTCACAGTTAGTTAACGGGAAAGTTCTCTTTCCACTCGTAATTCCTACTCTGTGGTACAATAGAAATCAATCTAAATTTTGTCCACACAATGACATAAGCGCATTTGATCTTAATTTCACAAAACCAAATGTTTGTCGTGATGTTTTCGAAACCAATTTTCAGAAATCATAAGAATGAAATTGACAACAATTGTTCATCTGCTGGCATCTGCTTTTGAAACTGAGAGCAATCAAATAGCACGCGCCTCGGCTGGAGCGGTGTCGACATGATTTGCACGTTCTGGGCGGGCGGCTGGTCTATTTCGCACGTGCCGCACGACGTTTATTCTAACAGCAAAGCGCGAGGACATTTCAAAATATATTTGTATATTTACAATTAATTTAATTGCTGTTTGGTTTTCGTTTACAGAAGAACACTTTAACATACTCCAAATAAAATAATAGCAGAATGTTCCAGAAATATTTCAAACATGACTTGTTCACTACATTTAATGTCGCTTATTGTTTATTGTGTTATTGACTGTTTGTGTCCTGTTCTGATAATGCTGCCCATCTACTGTCTCCCATTGCCAAGCACCCAGCCCCCTGTGCGTCCTCCAACGTGCTACACCATACTCCACCAACTACCGGATGACGTCACCAGGTCACGTGACACTGTGATCTCAACATCTTCATTTTAAGCTTCTTCCTCATTATACCGCGTTCACTCGTGTTTCTGTTAAACGACGGTGAACAACTGTGATCGCGAGTATTCGCGCTCTGCGTGATTATTGCGCGATGTGTATCCTTTTGTTTTAGTAATTCATAATCGCCACTGCAAATAGTTCAGTGACGAACCTTTTACACCAGAGCTGTTACGAACTTATTTTACATTCGCGTTAAAAGATTACAGTATACATACACCAAAACGTAATACACAGTAGGTCTGATGTTCATACTATTACACTATTTGTTTATCAGTGCATTGTACTTAGCTGTGCATTCCTTGCAATTGGATATTTTTGTACAACTTTAATATCCCAATTTGTCTCAAGTGTTATTCACTTGTAAACTACATTCATGTGTTGTAGGTATACATCTGAAGTATGACAAAGACAGAGTCAATCTCGCCAAAGTCCACATCAACACAGAAGGAGTCCTGTTCAACAGGAAGTCGGACACCAGACCTGCAGGGGAGGGGAAACTGAAGAAGTACTGGGGCACATGTAGCACTGCCCCCCTCCCCCGGGCTGGCTGGCCCCAGTACTGGGAGGTGGTGAACAGGGTCAGTCTGGACAAACCACTCACAGTGGAGGCCCTCATCCTGGAGGTGGGTGTATGCAGGGAGGAGCAGAGGGACGTGTCTCATTCTATCAATGGAGAACCCAGCTCCTGCAGCATGGCCGTCACCCACTGTACTACACACGGCGGGATATGCAGGAGGACATGGAAGGAGGAGGAGCAGGTGCTGTGTCTGCCTGACACTCTCCCCAACACAGCAGGGGCATCACACACACTACATTACGGTGTTGTCTATGATGACGCCAGGAAGAAGATTGTCTTCATTGATGTGAAGGAGAACAAAGTGATGTCGACATTAGACAATGTAGACTCCAGTCAGCCACTGTGGCCGATGTTCGGGGTGTATAACCCATCTCTCCTCACTGTCAGCATGACACTTGTAGTGGGCAGCGACATCAACATGACAGAGGAGAAGAAAGCAATGATTGTCAAGGCGCTGTCGTGATGGTGACAGTGATTGTCAAGGCGCTGTCGTGATGGTGACAATGGTTGTCAAGTGCTGTCGTGATAGTGACAATGATTGTCAAGGCGTAGTCGTGATGGGGACAATGATTGTTAAGGCGTTGTCGTGATGGTGACAATGGTTGTCAAGTGCTGTCGTGATAGTGACAATGATTGTCAAGGCGTAGTCGTGATGGGGACAATGATTGTTAAGGCGCTGTCGTGATGGTGACAATGGTTATCAGGGCGTTGTCGTGATGGAGACAATAATTGTTCAGGCCCTGTCGTGATGGTGACAGTGATTGTCAAGGGCTGACGTGAAGGTGACAATGATTGTTAAGGCGCGGTCGTGATGGTGACAATGGTTGTCAAGACGTTGTCGTGATGGTGACAATGATTGTCAAGGGCTGTCGTGATGGTGACAATGACTGTCAAGGCGTTGTCGTGATAGTGACAATGATTGTCAAGGCGTTGTCATGATGGTGACAATGGTTGTCAAGGCGTTGCATGATGGTGACGATTGTAAAGGCGTTGTCATGACGGTGACAATGATTGTTAAGGCGCGGTCGTGATGGTGACAATGATTGTCAAGGCGTTGTCATGATGGTGACAATGATTGTCAAGGGCTGTCATGATGGTGACAATGACTGTCAAGGCGTTGTCGTGATAGTGACAATGATTGTCAAGGCGTTGTCATGATGGTGACAATGGTTGTCAAGGCGTTGCATGATGGTGACGATTGTAAAGGCGTTGTCATGACGGTGACAATGATTGTCAAGGCGCCGTCGTGATGGTAACAATGATTGTCAAGGCGTTGTCGTGGTGGTGACAATGATTGTCAAGGCGTTGTCATGATGGTGACAATGATTTCAAGGGCTGTCGTGATTGTGACAATGATTGTCAAGGCGCTGTCATGATGGTGACAATGATTGTCAAGGCGCTGTCATGATGGGGACAATGATTGTCAAGGTGCTGTCGTGATGGGGACAATGGTTGTCAAGGCGTTGTCATGATGGTGACAATGATTGTTCAGGCGCTGTCGTGATGGTGACAATGATCGTCAAGGGCTGTCGTGATAATGACAATGATTGTCAATACGCTGTCGTGATGGTGACAATGATTGTTAATGCGCCGTTGTGATGGTGACAATGATTGTCAAGGCGTTGTCGTGATGGTGACAATGGTTGTCAAGGCGTTGTCGTGATGGTGATAATGATTGCCACGGCGTTGTCATGATGGTGACAATGATTGTCAAGGGCTGTCGTGATGGTGACAATGATTTTCAAGGCGTTGTCATGAAGGAAACAATGATTGTCAGGGCGTTGTTGTGATGGTGACAATGGTTGTCAAAGCATTGTCGTGATTGTGACAATGATTGTCAAGGCGTTGTCATGATGGTGACAATGATTGTAAAGGCGCTGTCGTGATAGTGACAATAATTGTCAAGGCATTTACGTGATGGGGACAATGATTATCAAGGCGCTGTCGTGGTGGTGACAATGGTTGTCAAGGCGTTGTCGTGATTGTGACAATGATTGTCAAGGCGTTGTCATGATGGTGACAATGATTGTCAAGGCACTGTCGTGATAGTGACAATGATTGTCAAGGGCTGTCGTGATGGTGACAATGATTGTCAAGGCGTTGTCTTGATGGTGACAATGATTGTCAAGGGCTGTCGTGATGGTGACAACGATTTTCAAGGCGTTGTCGTGACGGAAACAATGATTGTCAAGGCGCTGTCGTGATGGTGACAATGATTGTCAAGGCACTGTCGGGATGGTGATAATGATTGTCAAGGCACTGTCGTGATGGTGACAATGATTGTCAAGGCACTGTCGTGATGGTGACAATGATTGTCAAGGGCTGTCGTGATGGTGACAATGATTGACAAGGCTCTGTCGTGATGGTGAAAATGATTGTCAAGGCACTGTCGGGATGGTGACAATGATTGTCAAGGCACTGTCGGGATGGTGACAATGATCGTGATAAGAACACACAGATTTGTTGCAGATCCCTACTGATCAGGAACTACATGACTCGAACATGTCTTCTCTGTGAAAGAAGGCATTCATCTTCGTATGTACAAATATCACAAGTAAACAGGGTAGTGTGTACACAACACAAAACCAGAAGTTTAACTTATGATCTCCTACACCTATCAACTATAACCCCCTGAACCTGTAATCTTGATGTGATATGTGTAAATGTATGTAACATTTAGATAAAAGGTAAAACGTTTGTTGTTGTTTTTGTTTATTTGTTTGTTCGTTGATTAACGCCGCACTCAACAATATTCCAGCAATATGATGCTGGTCGTTAACTAATCGAGTCTGGACCAGACAATTCAGTGATTGGCGTCAAGAGCATCCATTTTCGCAATTTGGATACGATGGCATGCATAAACCAAGTCAGCGAGCCTCACCGTCCAATCCTATTTGTCCCCTCTTACAAGCATAGTCGCCTCTCACAACTTGCATGTGTTGCTGAAGACCTTTTCTGACTTTGATCTTCATGGGTGACGTAAATCTATTATGGTACATGGTACGACACACAAGAAGGCAAGTCGCCGAACCTGACCAATCGATGGATGCTGTCGCCTCGTTTTGCATGCTGACAGGGGATAGCAGTGGGATTTCTTTAGATATTTATCAAACAAAATAAAGGAAGTGACATTGCAATAAGCTATTGTTTTGATAATAATAACTTAAAATTTGCTGATTTGCCGGACGAAGGAGGGCAGTTTAAAAGATTGAGGGCTTATGCGAATGATTATTACCAGCAAAAATAGCGTTACCGTTATTATAGATAAATTAGATAGAATTTGTTTTCAGATGAATATAAACATCAATATCGGTTTTGAAATATTTACTGCAATCAACAAACAACGAATGCCACTGAAGAACAAATTAGATGACGTCAAAGCTGACTCCCTAACAACGGGAGTCAAGCAATATGAGGGCATTATCAAGTTACAATGGTCTGCTAATTCTGATAACATGCGGGCAGTTTAAAGATAATTCTCCCCATTTTAGCTATAAATTGCGTGGATCGATGCTCATGATGGCAATTACTGAACTGTTTGGTCGAGACTTGATTATTTATAGACCACTGTCATTTATCTCAACAATTGCTGAATGTGGCGTTAAACAGCAAACATAGTTGTAGCAATATACCAGGCAACAGAAATGCCCTCAGCATTGGGACACTTTAACCATTATAATATGATTTTGTTATATTATTCCATAATGTTCCTCGGTAACATTTGTCTTGAAAACCTGTACAGTTTCCGAATACGATTTCAAGGCAACAAGCTGGTAGGGAGATGGAGGTTTAGGTTGTATAAACCTTATGCATGTGCCGCCACTAACACCATCAACATCAACATGACCACCAACACGACACGATCACTAACACCATAACAACACCAATACCAACAACACGCACGATCACTAACACCATAACAACACCAATACCAACAATAGCAAGATCAACCCCAACAACACAAACAACAACTATATCAACAACAACAACATCAACAACACAACCAACCACAGCAAGAACACCACCGACACGACCACCAACAACACGCACGACCTTTTACACCACCAACTTCACCAATACCAACAACAGCAAGATCAACACCAATACCACAAACAACAAGATCAACAACAACACCAACAACATCGATAACACCACCAACACCCACAACGACACACACCACCGTGGGTCTAGCTGAAGTGGTAAACGTCTGAGACCTATATCACTCCGGGCTTTCCTTGAACATTAAGCTGACACGCCGTGATATAACTGGAATAATGTTAAAAGCAGCGCTGAACCCAACTCACTCATCTTTGGAGACTAAACTTTGATGTTCTTTAATTCGGGATTTGAGGGGCCTAGATGTTTCTCCAATGAAAGCTTGCCTACAACTGCACGGAATGTGGTACACTGCTCTTGATGGTTCTAGCTTGTGGCTGGATGGTTCAACTCCACCTCCCCTCGTGCTCCGAACTAGACGTACATGTAGTTGCGTCGTTATCGCAGTCTGATGTAACGTCGTCGGATTCCCCTTCCAATCTAGATGTAGATGTAGTTGCATCGTTATCGCTGTCTGACGTAACGTCGTCGGATTCCCCTTTCGAACTAGACGTACATGTAGTTGCATCGTTATCGCTGTCTAACGGAACGTCGTCGGATTCCCCTTCCGAACTAGACGCACATGTAGTTGCATCGTTATCGCTGTCTGACGTAACGTCGTCGGATTTCCCTTCCGAACTAGACGCACATGTAATAGCGTCGTTATCGCTGTCTGACGTAACGTCGTCGCATTCCCCTTCCGAACTAGACGTACATGTAGAAGCGTCCCTGACTCCGTCTGACGTGTCAGCTTCGCTACCCCCTTCTTCCGAACAGAAATACTTAGGTTTCCGAGAGGTGGTGAGGTGAAGAGGGGTTTAAGATTATTACACTTATATAGCAACGTGCATGTGCGTGTGTGTGTGTGTGTGTGTGTGTGCGTGCTTGCGTGCGTGCGTGCGTGCGTGTGATTGTACTAGTCCGGACTAATCTCGATGTTATAGTGTTGGCCGACAGATGCCATGCCTCAGTTTAACATGAATACCCAGCTAAGACACAGTATACTGACTCTAAGCCGACCAAGCCTTGTTGCCGAGCGCCAGACAGGGTAATAACAAGTACCATCTCTTATCAAAGACGCCGAATGTGCTATAACCTCTTATGTAACACATCGTTGTAAATTAATGGTCCCGATGCAATCTCACGCAATAAGACCTCAGCAATGCATGGTGGGTAACGTTGATAACGTTGCCAGTTATGGCGGCAGGTTATATCGAGGCTCGGCGGTAGACAACTATGTGGAACTACAAGCTACGTCCATCTTATTTCTTATAAAGCACATTGGATTCCAATCTCGGGTTATCACAGAATGTTATGGAGTTGACAGAACCTCGACATCGGAGAGAAGCGTTCGTAAAATAGCACGACTACAATTTAACCGAGAATGCTGTGTTGATATGGGATCTTGGATTGCTTGAAATTATCGAAAAAATCAGATCAGGCGCTAAAACAACCGTATGACGCGGAACCTCGTTTTCAATCGGTTATCGGCTGAACACGTGGTTTTCGGACATTGGTCGAAGCGTGTCATCTCGGTATTGGCGCCTCTGAGCGTTGTCCGGGCGAGACGTGACCATCAATCTTATATACCTTGGAGAGATATCAAATCGTCGCTGTATGTCGTCGGTATAAATCCCATCGTCGGCTAGTCGTACAAAACAACTACATTGAATCCCGTGGTCACAGGCTCATGATCAGTGACATGACCATCGATCTTACATACCTTGGTTTGGAGTGACTTGGATAGTTTTGGACGCGTTTCCAACATATCGTTTCGAGAGCACCTACAAGAGAAGGATATACATTTAATAATAAAAAGAACATGCGTACAGAGAGAGACAGAGAGAGAGAGAGAGAGAGAGAGAGAGAGAGAGAGAGAGAGAGAGAGAGATGTCAAATCGTCCTGTATGTCGTCGGTATAAATCTCATCGTCGGCTTGTCGTACAAAGCAACTACATTGAATCGGGTGGTCACAGGCTCATGATCAGTGACTTGCCTGAATGCTTGACATTGCACCCGACGAGACGGGATGTTACTGATGAAGCCAGACACTGGGTTGACTCAAATATTTACAGACCACAGTGATATAGCTGGCACATGGCTGAGTGCGGAGTGTAAATACACACAAACACACATACATATCATCATCATCATCATCATCATCATCATCATCATCTGCTCAATGTTATAAGAGGGAAATCAATAGAGGACTCTTGTCTTGTCTTGTCAGATCTAGAATGTGTTACTCATCAAGTGACTGGTATTTTCACGAGTGGAGCACCCACAAGTTAACACTTAACTTTGCAGATAAGATAAACATTGTGTTTGACTAGAAAATGTAAAATGTTTCGCTTATTATGAAAGTCGTTCGGGCATTAAGCGCCATTTCTACATGTTATTTTACTTGAGTGAAATATCGATTATATATACTCTTAAAAAAAGAAACGTTAAGTCAGTTTTGTGTAAGGTAGGAAAATACATTTACACGAGGAACTGTACAAGGTATGGAGCCAAAATGTTTTGGGGAGAACACTTGGTGATAGTACTCATCTCAGTTATCGGTACATAGGAAAAGTCCAAGGTGAAGGTCCGTTCGAATCGATAGCGGCCTGACATCTCCTGCCCATGGAAGACACGATTATGCGAATCACATCCTGGGGTATGATAGCCCACTCGACCTGCAACACGAAAGTCAACAGCTGCAAAGTCTGGGGTTGTGGTTGACGTCTGCGTAGCCGTCTATCCAATTCATCCCACAGGTGCACTATCGGGTTCATATCCGGGAATCTGGAGGGTCAGGGGAGAACATCAACGTTGTTGTTGTAAAGACAGGCTCTTGTGATCCGTGCTGTATATGGCCGAGCGTTGTCCTGCTGGAATGCACCGTTACCGTTGGCTGCAATTGGGAGGACGTGTGGTAGGAGAATTTCGTTAATGTATCGTTGAACCGTAAGACTGCCCTAGATGTCAACCAACCCTGTCCTGCCATTATGAGAGATAGCCGCCCACATCATAACGCTACCCCCACCAAACCTGTCCACTTCCTGTACGCGTAACGTTCTCCACGACGTCTGTAGACCTGTGCTCTTTCATTCCCTCGACGGTGGAGAAATCTTGATCTCGATGTTGTCGACTCAATATGAGGCATCGAACAGGACGTTTTGCTCGTAGACCTGCTGCTCTTAAACGGTGTCGTACGGTCTGGTCGGAGATTCTGCGCAGTCAGGGTATTTGGGATGCGGTTAAGGTGTCTGTGGTCGTGCTTTCACGTAGATGGCGCACTCGGATGTAGCGATCTTGGGCGGGGGTGGTTACTCTTGGTCATCCCGACCTTGGCCGATCACGTGTTGACCCGTGCTGTTGAAACTGATCCAATAGCCTTGTGATGGTGCTGGGTGCTATATTGAAAACCCTGGCTACAGCTAATCGGGATTCCCCTGCCTGCAAGCGTCCTTTGACGCTGTTTCGTTTCACTTCTGTTAATCTTGGCGTGTTGTTGAACTGTCACTGTTCGACTGACACAGATGCCAGGCAATCAAAAACACTGCACTTTACTACCGTTTATGGTGTTGCTGCAGGTTTAGTACGTGCAACTCCATGGTACTTTTGTTAATGTACTGGGTGCGTTTTTTTCCGAATCGTACTTGTTTCCCGACGTATTGTTTTCATGTCCTTGTTGTGATCATTTTGATCACGGAAATGTGTCACTGTCACTAAAACACATAAAACCACTTCGTTTTGCACCTCTTGGTCCGCTGATTTTTCTTTTATTGCCAAAATAAATTGTATCGCATTTCTTTTTTTTGAAGAGTATATTTGGGGATGCTGACAGTATTTCATCACTAAATGCATTTATCAATTTATCAAAGTCAGCATATAACGAATATACCGCTAGGTTATGTTTTAGCCTAAGCATCTACTCATCAACTTTTGATCTGTGAAGATTCGGGTTGAAATAGATCAGCAAGTCAAACTAAGGAATTGCATCCGACACAACTTTTGTCACGGATGCGTCAAATTTGGAAATGTCCACCACATGTCTTCCACAAAAAGTTTTGAAGGTTTTATTGTGTGTTGTAACCATGATAGTGAGTGAGTGAGTGAGTGAGTGAGTATGGTTTACGCCGCCTTGAGCAATATTCCAGCAATATCACGGCGGGGGACACCAATATCACGGTGGGCTTCACACATTGTGCCCATGTCGGGAATCGAACTCGGGTCTTCGGCGTGACGAGCGAACGCTTTAACCACTAGGCTACCCGACCGCCCCCTATGATCTTGATCAAACATCTTCTGAGCAAGAGTCGCTCTTTGAAGTCATGGTAGCAAGAACATGCTCGATTGTACTTCAAAAGTTATGGAATGTAAACGCTATCGTTGATATCCTGTGTCTTGTGGACAGTGTTTTGACCTCTGAAGCTTTATGCATGGATCTAAATATGAAACAGATGAAGTGGTCTCACTGGTCTCCTTTATTTCTAGTCCAGGTGGGTAAATCAGTGGAAGAAATCGTTCATTTGAACGATATCAGATCATCGATATACCTGAAGCTTAAAGGGGCACTGATCTGAAGCAACTCCGCGGGACTGGTTGTTGCCTTTGTTATTGTCTTTTCCCCGTAAATACCCGGATGATATAGCAAATCTAGACTAGTTCGCGACCTGTGCTGCGCCATTCGTAAGCGCATTTGACACCTTTATTGATAGTATAAGGATGTATTGTCACATTGGTCAACAAAAGGAAATACAGTTTTGGAAATAATAAGGAAATGTAGGTATCTTTGTGGGTAGCATCGGTAATTGTGACGAAGTTTTGATAAGTCACTTGCTTGGTAATTTTGCGATTTTCGTTTACACTAGTTTAACTTGCAACACAAAGTAAATATTTCACCTTAGCATTGCTCACTTTATCGTGTGTATATTTTTACAGTCAAAATGTGTAACATTTTCACTTAGAAAATTTATTTAACGCCTGGATATTTATTTTACAAATTGCCTGAGAAAAAATTCCATTTGTATCATTATGATAACGAATTCCTAACATTTTTATGATTAATATCATCACCAAGTGACTGAAAATGTAAGGATTAAAAGTACTTTTCTAAATTGTTTGGCTTCTAATCCTAGCATAATTAATCTATTGTGATCTTTAAAGCCCCTTTGAACGTCTTAATCATTTTAAGTCAATCTTTTAAATAAATGGACAGATTTTTCAGGCAATTTGTAAAATAATATCCAGGCGTTAAATAAATTTTCTATTTGGACATTTTATAAATTGCCTGAGTGAATCTCATTTTACACATTGACTGTAATATATACAGACTTGTGAAAACAACGTCTGTCGCGCATCGAAGAACTTCCCAACCAAGACGTAGAGGAACAAGAATGATTCTGTTCAATGCTGCAGCAAATGAATGAAAACAAAATGCAAATATCATAATTACAACCTACCAAAGTTATATGTATAATTTTAGGCAGCTACCTTGTTCGAGGAATGTACCCGTGAATATCCACATAACGGAACAATATCCCATACATCTTCAGCCGTACAAAGAAACATTTTCGATGTCACGTGTCTCTGGAACAATCGAATATTTTAAAATATGTATAGCGTTTCGGGATATTATAACCCGTGTTCGTTTCTCAACTGACCACTTGTTTTTTTTCAGTTGTTTCACATAGGTTTCAAGTCCCAAAGGTCAGCTGAGAAGCCCACATGACAACTATTTTCATAATATCCACGGTTCTTAAAAAATCCCTTGAGTTAGATAACAATGAGCGATCAATCAACGTATTATCGGTTAACCTTTGAACATAGTATGTTGTTTTTACATCGGCATATCACGCCATGATATGAGTGTATTCCTTTTGCTTTAGTAAACCTGGACAATTAAAAACTTACTTTTGACATATCCACTGTGCAAGATAACAGCGATTAATCAATCAACGTATTTTCTGTTGATTCTTTGATGGCTAGGAATGATCCGTTGATTTACATTCAATTCATCTCTTGCTTGGCTGCCACGTGCATATTACAAAACACACATTTCACCTCACTTCAAACCTGAATTTAGATAATGAATAACTACCCCAGACACAAGAAATGCAAAATAGGATTATTGACCCGCTAATCTGAGCGGTGCTACCACTAGTTATACCTGTAATAAATTCATTAACTGAGCATCAAGTGAATGACTAACAAATACACAAGTGTAGGGTTATATCAGAAAACATGGCTGACAACAAGGGAGTAGCAATCGTATCAGCCACGCAATCCGTAATCCGAACATGCTTTCACTGCAGGTTTAAGTTAAACGTCTCAGTCAGATTACCTTGTTTTGCCTTTGCCAAACCGAGCAGATATTCCGATTCATATGCATAAAGCAACAGATCAGCAAGAAGCGGAACACAATAGGTCACCATAGGGATGCCTACTTCTTGCCTAAATGTCTCACCCCTACATTTTACAGAGAAATTATCAAAGAGGAAGTCTAGCATTTCACAAATGTTTTTCTCAGTAAACTTCAGATGTTATTTACTTTCAATTTGACAAATTACCCTGAACCTGAAGATAGATATGTGACTGTATCTCTGGTCACTGCGTTTTGCAACAAAAGCCCCATGGGTCACGGAATCAGGTTTTTCCTTAAGTTTGTTATGTGGGATAGAGGTGAAGAAATTACTTTAACAGAATTGAAGCAAATCCTTTGAGGTTTCGAAAATACACATGGTATTGTTTGTTCGTTGTCTAACGCCTCACTCAGCAACATTCCAGCTATATGACGGCGGTCTGTAAATAATCGCGTCTGGACCACAAAATCAGACAAGTTACCTCCACTCGACTCATGATTTGATTGGTGTGATTACACATTAATACAAGTCCATGCCGTGATGTATTCCAAGCACATGCTCTCTGCAAATATTAGTGCATGCGCATGACATGGGACAGCGTTTTGTGACATGAATGAGAATCGACCTTTAGCTAGGAAACGCAGTACTGTTTTATCGAATATATAATATGCAAATGGCATTTTCCTTAAGTGGGTAGGGCGGGGGCGTTGGTATGATTATCATTTTCCATTTCGATTGTTCTTGCTTTTGACTGTTTGTTTGTTCGTTTGATTGTTTTTAACGCTGCACTCAGCGATGACGGTAGTATGACGGCGGTCTGTAAATAATCGAGTCTGGACCAGACAATTCAATGACTGATATCACGAGCATTGATCCAAGCAATTGGGATACGAAGACGTGCATCAACCAAGTCAACGAACCTGACCACTCGATCCCGTTCGTCGCCTCTTACGACAAGCACAGTGGCCTTTTACGGCAAGTATGGGTTGCTGAAGACCTAATTCTTTTTACTGAAATATATCAGAGTGAACACTCAGGCTGTAGCTATCTTTGCATGTGTTTGTGACGGATGCCAATGGAGCGTGATACGCTCATCTTTTTGCGAGCACCTGGTATCATAACAGTTTGATAGTGATTAATACGTATGTACTAATCAAATATTCGGAATCGAACAATGGAATCTGCGTTAACAGATGTTTCTCTGATCATGAGAAGGGTTTTCTGGCTTTTGTTCAAACGTATTGTGACCAAGAAAATTGGGCAAAATGTTATAACGATACATGAGATATGAATGGAATTGGGTATCTTCAGAAATTATATAAACTGTGAAATATAACAAACCAAGGGAAAACGCCCCAATACCTTAAAAATGCTGAGGGTCAAACTGATAACGCGATTCGGATAGTTCACGGCCAGTGTGGCCTGTAATACTGGTCAGGGTTATGCAAACAAATTTAAGACTTAACCCCTTATCAGCCTAAACTAATAATCACATGTACCACGCCTACACGCATATATTGGTCAGGTTTGCTTCTTCAAACTAAACCGAACCCGTAAACACTTTTATCAAGAGTGGCTCGGTCAAGTTCAGTTATGCAATTCTGTCGAGATAAGTGTTACCAAAGTAACATCATTGACAACTTAATCAGAAAATGAGACCATCCGCGATAGCTCAGTCACACATAACTCTGTGGCTATTGTATAAACTATTATTCACACAAGTAAGCAGCGTTCACTATCTTTATGTAGAAAGTCCTGACGGTACACTGAACAGTTCGGCAATGTGGCTACAACCAGATACTATACGGTAAGATCTTGATGCATTTTTAACTTTTTAAATTTCATGCTTCACATATACTACAATTGTGTGAATGTCTACTTTTGTGAATGTGCCGCATTCAGATAGAGACTATAGGATGAATTGTATGAGTACTATTTAATCATTCGTAAGCTGCATGCACATTGTGATTCTGCTGTGTGCAAATCAATCTGCATCAGTCATTGTGAATCCTTTTATATATTTGTTAATTCTTTGTATATCTGTTTATATATAATTGATTGTAATCATTATCAATCTCATTAACATCAGGTTTTAGTTTTCGCTACCGCTAAGCAATCATTTAAGAACATCCCATTACGTTAGAACGACCTTTCATCCGACCAATCAGAGCGTCACTTACCAAATGAGGAACCCCGAAAAGTTTAACACGTGGTATTCCGAACGACAGTTACGTGCTGTACGACTGATTCCGTCAAACTCATCGTCTTGCTCTCGCTTCAATGGGATAAACATTTGAACGGAAGAGACTTTGCACAGCCATGTGGAGGTACAGCCATACAATCTCCGCTATCTGTTATACATTCCAGAACGTTCTTTAGATCTGTTTTAAAAGCTTGAACATTCAAGAACGTTTTTTAGATCTGTTTTAAAAGCTTGAACATTCCAGAACGTTCTTTAGATCTGTTTTAAAATCTTGAACGTTCCAGAACGTTCTTTAGATCTGTTTTAAAATCCTGAAGGTTCCAGAACGTTCTTTAGATCTGTTTTCAAATCTTGAATCGAGAACTTTGTCAAAGTTTCTTTTTTCAAAGAGTAGTCTTGAATGGAAGTGGCCAAGAGAAAATTGGTTTCTGATTGGCTAATGTTGACTTCTTGTCATTCATTGGTCGGTCATAGTTCGCAAAAAGTCGTTCTGACGAGACCTGCAACGGAATGTCCTTACACTTTTGTTTAGCGGCAGCGAGAGCTAAGATCTTTTTCTAAAGAGATTGTAATTATTCTGTAATCGACTATAAATTGTAGTTGATTCTGTGCCTGACTAATAAACTCCAGTATATTAACCCAGGGCTTGTGCCAGTGTGCTGGTTGGTCGTGCACAGTGGCACTTCTGATATTGCTAGTGGCTAATATCATCATCCAACAATTAACCACGTTTTTCCTGCATTGTCATCAATGTTCAATTCAATTCAATTCTGTGTTGTATGGAAGGCCACAGGCTCATATACAACGGAGTTAAATGATACATTTTATACATATCACATCCAGAACGACTATGTACATTCCAGGAAGTAGTGTCTCATTCAGTACAAACTTGCATTAATACTTATCTGATTTTGTCTCGTCCTTGTTTAACATGATTACCCTCTGTGTGAAATAAAACTTTTTGTCTACCATATGAGTACACTATTATACAAATAGACATGTAGATAACTCGGGATGTAACTATATATAGTGGGATGTTCACCTCCAATAAGACAGCATACACTATGAAAATATTCAAAATTAATATTATTGTTAACATATTCAACTGCAAATTATCGATAATAATAACGGTTATCTCAATATCATAATCATGACGTACATATGTACAATTATAGAAATTAAAATGCTTTAGTGAGTGAGTATGGTTTTACGCCACTTTCATCAATATCACGGCGGGGGGCACCAGAAATGGGCTTCACACATTGTACCCATGTCGGGAATTAAAATGCTTTAGAAAGTTCGGGTGATATATTCAGTCACGAGTATCAGGTAATTCATGAGCATGGAATCAGCGAGTGTGATTTAACATGCAATAATGGCGGGTGTTGAGATGTAAAACAACAGAATATTACTAGTTGAGTATGAACTGTGTTATGCTGTTTTTAAATGTATATAATATCGGTAATTCCTCGTTAGTGATTCTTTGCAATTCCCACAACAATATTCTATGTCATCTGATCGGCACGTTAGCGACCGCTATAGCAGGTTAATGCATTCAAATATGCAAATATTTCATTCAAATCACTATGACGAGACAGAAGCGTTAATTCCCGAGGCACAGATGTGTGGCACCGGTCATAAGAAACACTCATTTGGACAGAGGTAGTATGCGTCTGTTTCTGTCGTATGATTCAACTAAATCTTTACCGTTGTGGTTTCTTATAATTAACATATTGTAAATGTTTCTTCTGATATTGAAATATGTTTACGCTCATAAAGATACACATTTCATTTAAATCTTCAAGACTGTGGTTTATTTGGTTATTCCAAAATATGCATTTTTCCTGCGGGCACATCCGATGGCTGTTTCAAAATATGCATTTGTCCCTTCTGTCCAAAGGGGTTTAATATTTCTTTGGTTCTATAATGCATACTTTTTATGTGTTTTTATATTTAGTTTATTTCTTGCATAACATAATCGGATAATGATTTGTATTTTCAACTTTTAAGACCGTGATTTTTTGGTTATTCCTTAACATGCATTTCTCCTTCTGTCATGAGGGATATGATATTTTGGGGTTCAATACTTAAAAATAATTTTTCTTTTTTTTTCTTTGACATTGAAAACAATTTTACATAAAATTAACTCGATTGCATTTGAAGCTATTTTATTATTTTCATTGAAGACAAAATTATTATTTCTTTAGGAAATGCATTTTCTGAAGGATTTAATTGTTACATCATCAAGGGTATACAAGACAATCATCCATTTAGCTTCTGTTGCTGCATATGTTGATAAATAATTCAGTCCCGTGCATTTGGGGGAATGTTTAAAACGTAACATAGTCCGGAGAGACATACAATATTCTCCGATTACTAACGAAAGCTATGTGTAATGATCAGTAGCTATTGAAGCTAGGTCTCGACGTTATTGCAGCGACATTGACTGTGTTTAGGTTTGTAAAACATAACGTTCAGATGACTTCATTTACACCTGGCGACTAACGGGATCGGGTGGTCAGGCTCGCTGACTGGGTTGATGCATGTCATTGATCATAATTCCGTAGATCGATGATATCAATCACAGGATTGTCTGGTCCAGAGCCTGACCAACCAATCCCATTGGTCGCCTCTTACGACAAGGATAGACGCCTTTTACGGCAAGCAATGGTTGCTGAAGAACTATTCTACACCGGGCCGTCACGGGTCGACGAATGTGTAACGGATACTGATTTTACTGTTACAATCTATAACATTTAGTTTGCTATTTGTAGGACGTTCTGCTTTACTCCAAGCTCCGACACCAGTGTGACAAAGTTGCGATTACACGCCAGATGATAGGGCCGACAACCGTGCTTCTACATGGTCCATTACAATTAGTTGTGACGGCAACTGCTTTAAACATGGAGCGTGCAGTGCAGACACTGTCCGCCATGATTTGATAATACTGTATGAGATTTTGATGGACTGTTTTAAAATCGACATCCACCCAATAATTAAAACTGACCATATTTTTGGAAATATTAATCTTGTTTATTTAGCATCATTACTTATCCTGAATGTTACCAAAATTATTTTCAATTGCCATTTGGTGCAGAACTGAGGTTGGCGTGTTTAGCTTCCTGTACTCCGCTTTAAGGCCCGACAATGCATGTCTAGTTATTTAAAAGACGAATATACTGTTGCTTTGGATGTCATCTAATTTAAGAATACTTATCCATACTCAACCATACTCACCTAAATTCTCCATAGTTTATAGAAAACGATGTATGATGTAGGTAAAGGTACATTGTATACACGTATGCTTATATATTTGTGTTTTAAACCCAACAGAATGTTTCCCAATGCCCAGTCCATCTTGAGAGTGACAAGGGCATCTTATGCAACGTAGCACAGAGGAACGACATCGTGCAGAGATGGCAAGAGTATTCTCAACACATTGAAGTCCACACCGATGGTATCAAATCTACAGATTGCCTTCTTACCTAAGCATCCAAAGACCTTTCCATATACTTCAAGAATTTTCGAAAACCCCAAGACATTCCTAGACACCGCAAGACCTTGTTTTCTCAAGGCCTTTAAGCGCATCCCAATACATCCCAACGCATTCCAAGACAGGCATACCCGTCCCAAGAGATTGGCAGGCATCCCCAGATTTCTCTGAGCATCACAAACGTTTCCAACGCATCATAAACGCATCCAAGCATCACAAGACTCATCCCTTGCAAAGACTCACTTGGATCGATAGCAAGAGAAACGAATTAAAATGGCCAGCAGACACAGCTTCCACATCGTCGACTACGTGGTGTTCGGCGCCACCATCCTCATCTCACTGGGCATAGGACTTTACTTTGCTATGTCTGGCGGACGTCAGCGAACAACATCCGAGTTTCTGGTCGGAGGACGTGCCATGAAGTTTCTCCCCGTCGCTGTGTCGCTCATGGTGTCGTAAGAGTCGTCGATCATGATGTTGGGCTATCCGGCAGAAGTATACGTGTATGGAGCTCAGCTTTTTATAGCTATTTTTGGTTTCATGGCGGCATTTCTGATATGCAGGGTGTTGATGATACCACTGATTCATCCCCTGAAACTTACAAGCGCTTACGAGGTAAGTTCAGATTAATACAGCGGAACTAGTTTAGACGCGTCAGGAAATCTTTCTAATCAGCCAATCAGCATCGAATCTCGGTATGAAACCTGCATTGTGTATCTCGCAAACAAAGTAAAACCATCAGTTCCGAATGTAAATAATAAAGGCCGCACCATTACATTGTTTTTGATAGTTCATACACTCTGTCGAGTGTCATGTCATCTACACTCAAGAGAGAGTACACTATTTGGAACAGTTGTGTTCAATATGAAATGTCTTTTCTTAAAATTAATTTCCGAATCGAGATGATAAAGAAATGAAGCCGAATCGTGCTATTTGGTTGACGTCTGATTGGCTCAAGAACCCACGTGTCATTAATTTAAACTGGGCGATCACATTTTGGCTACCGTCTTTTGGGGGGTTGTCAGATCATCACGTAAATAGTTATCGTACTGGAATCAAACATGTGAGGTGAGGTGAAATACGGTTAACGTCGCGTCCAAGATTATTGCATATATATATATATATATATATATATATATATATATATTTATATTATTTGTGTGTGTGTTCATCAACAGATTTACGACTTTCATTCAAGAAACCTCTACGATGACAAATGATACATTAATGCGAATCGATAATATTACTTATGTGTGTTATTACAGTATGTGATGGTTATGTATATTTTCATATTTTAACGCGAGCCGACCTATCGTTATAATTAGAATAATTTTGAGAGCAGGGTTGGCTCGCGTCACAAAACATCGACCACTAAAATCCTAAAGTATGTTTCCGATTTTCATGTTAGGCAATAAATGTAATGAATGAATAATCCACTGCGAAGATAGAAAAAAATGAGGTTTACTAGTACTTATAAACAAATTGTGTTTTTTTATGTGTAAAAAAATATGCTTTTTTCCAAGGTGTAAACAATTTCTTTTCTGCTACAATGCTTGTTTCGACCCTGCCATCTCTAAGATAAGGTAGCCAGCATACGTTGTCCGCGCCAAAATAACGTACCGGCACCTAGACTGGACAGTTGTAAAGTCTTGAAGGAAAACAATCTTGTTCTATTTATAGTGACGGGATTTCCCCAAACAGGGTCAGTCTTCCTGGTTGCAGCTGCCGCTATTTTATACACAGCCATGGTGAGAAATGACCACTAATTCTTAAATAATTATCAATACGTCAATCCTATTTTATTTATACATGTTATTTCTTGTGGGTAAAACTTTCAACACAACCGGTTCATTTTGACGAACCAAGAGCAATGTTTTTCAAATCAGGGTTTACCAGTCCATTAAAGTATTTTATCCAAAAAGGGGCAAATTGAAATGTTATAAACGCCAAAACATGGAACAACCTTTAGAAATAATTGTAATTTAATAATAGTTGAATATATCTGAGAAGTAGCATTAATCTTAAATTGTATGAACCAGGATCGACCTAATCCTTATGAGTAATGTTACTGGAACGGGTGTGTTTTTTGCAGGGCGGACTGAAAGCGGTCATCTGGACTGATGTCTTTCAGGCTGTCGTGATGTTTGCGGGCATGCTTTCCGTCATCATCAAGGTAGGCCACCTGGGAATGTCATGAAACTGCGTTGTAAGTACAGGATAAAACACGCCTCCTCGATCTGGGTTGAAAGCTAAAACCGCGAGCGAGGGAAAAGCCCGAGCTCAATGTTTTACATTTGCAACCAAAACCGAGGAGGCATGTATTATCCAACTTATGAACCGTTCCACCGGAACGCCCGGGGCATTGTTGATATTGCCTGGCTTGGAAGCTTACCAACATTTTGAAGGACCTTTTGCTACTGTGGTGTGACGTCATCCGAGGTTTATAAGTCCTGTCTGCAGCGCCTTTTCAAATTTAGTGCAAAACGAACATGGTTCTTTTCACATCATCAATAATGACAGTGGATTATTCCTTTGTTTTGTGGACAAAAAAATCAAGTGATGAGCGAAGATCCACGTTTGTTTGTTTGTTTGTTTGTTTGTTTGTTTGTTTGTTTGTTTGAATGTTGTTTAACGCCGCACTCCAACTGAATGACGGCGGTCTGTAAATAATCGAGTCTAGACCAGACCATCCAGGGATTGACATCATGAGCATCGATCCACACAGTTAGGTTATGATGACATGCATCAACCAAGTCAGCGAGCCTGACCACCCGTTCCCGTTAGTCGCCTATTACGGCAAGCATGGGTTGCTGAAGACCTATTCTACCTCGGATGGATCCACGTAATGTGGATATGATGACACGTAATTAACCAAGGCACCTCGCCCGACCCTTGATCCATTTGGTCACCTCTTGCGACAAGCACAGGTTGCTGGGGACCTATGTTCTTACCCGGATTCCACAGTTTTTTGTACCTGTGTCAGCAAACTGTGTCGACAAATGCTCAACGTGATTATCGGATTGCGATGTCTGCCAGGCGAATGTTACATTTGAGTCAGAGAGTTGGTGAATATGATTTTACGCCGCTTATGGAAATATTCCAGCAATACCAGGGCGGGAGACACCAGAAAATGGGCATTACAGATTGTTACTTTGTTGGAAATCGAACCCGGATCTTCGGCTTGATGTCAGAGGTCGGAGGTCGGTTGTATCAGCAAATACATGTTTGCCTATAAATGTGTGCATGTTCTGCATGGGGGGCACACGTACCTCTGTATTTCTCACAGGACACAAGGCTTCATGTGAAAAAAAGACCTGCGATGGACATTAGTGAGTCAGTGAGTATAGTTTTACCCCGCTTTTAGCAATATCCTTGCAATATCAAGGCAGGGATACCAGAAATGGGCTTCACCCATTGTACCCACGTCGGGAATCGAACCCGGATCTTCGGCGTGACAAGCGAATGCTTTTACCACTAGGCTACTCGACCGCCCCAAATAGGCATACGAAAGGTAGTCACGAGATATACTTTAATGCTTAAGTGTTATTTCCTGTATTCCTGTAATATAATATGTCACTTACATTATCATCGAAGAAGTCGATTTCGACCAATCAGCATAAAAAATGTCTCCGGTAGGGATAAAAATATTGGCCTTTTTTAAAAGAATCTGTGTATCGTATTTCAGGGCACAATTGACGCAGGTGGAATCAAGGCTGTGTGGACCACTGCGGCTAAGGGAGGACGCCTGAATTTCTTTAAGTAAGGTTTGACAGTTTCTTCAAATGATATTTATTCATTTAATAAATTTTCAACATATTCAGATATAATACATGCACAATTTGTGATTGAACTGTTTTGTTTAGGGTTTAACGCCGCACTCATCAATATTCCAGCTATATAGCGGCAGTATGTAATAACCAGATAATGTGATTATTATCATGAGCATCTATGCACGCAAATGGGATACGATGACATGCACCAACCAAGTGAGCGAGCCTGACCACTCGATCCCGTTAGTCGTCTCTTACGACAAACATAACCGCCTCTTTTGAGGGAGATATGCACAATTACGTGGACCTATGAAATAAAACCTTGCGAAAATATTAAACATATTGTCATTGTGATCATTTATGTTGAGTGAGTAAGTGAAATATTCCAGCAATATCACGGCGGGGGACACAAGAAATGGGACTAACACTGCTGTGTACAGAACCTGAGCTGGCGTGATGAGCGAATACTTTACTATGAGGCAACAGTGCTGCTCCTTGTCTCAATGAAATTGCTGCGACTCATTTGCAAGTCAAATATCAAGACCCAAGACCTACACGGGACGTTGTCTAACAATCCATGATGATGTCACCTAGTTTTGACATGGACCCGACTGTCCGTCACACGTTTTGGGACTGTTTCTGGGGACATTCGCTGATCTTCAACCAGTCCACTATACAGAGGGTCTGTTACACGCCAACACTCGCAGTATCCAAGAAGTGAGTCTCAGCAGTAACTGTAAACTACGTTTATAACGAACATGCTACAAACCAACTGACGGATATAACGAACCGTTTTGTTGTTCCCGGGCATTTGCTGTATCTTATAACAAACTAAAACTAGTGGTCCCTTTGAGTTCGATATAAACGTAGTTTTCTGTATTTTATCCGTACTAACTGTTATTATCTTACAAAGATAATATTAAATAGATATCAATGTTGCATAAATAATATCAATATGTGTCTATAGCCGCAGGGGCACGGTTGGCCCAGTCGTCTCAGGCGCCGCCATTTGCTGTGCAAAGTTGCGTCCCTTGGGTACCCCAGAGACCTATGATTGTGGGTTCGAATCCCGGTTCGCCCCGATTATGTTTCTAGGTTTGTCAGCACCATACCCGTACTCGTGGGTTTCACCGAAGTGGAAATCGTTTGAGACCTGCATCATGATCACTTCGGGCTTTCCTCCAACATTAAGCTGACACGCCGTGATATAACTGGAATACTATTAAAAGCGGCGTTGAACCTAACTCACTCACTCACTATAGCCGCAATCTTTTTGTAAAATCATCAAATCACCATCTGCTACAACAGTTAGTTAACAAAAGGACCGTAAAGATCCGGTGTAGAATAGGTCTTCAGCAATCGCATTAAAATCAGATCTAAGTTCTCGCTGCAGCTAAACAAAGATCTGAGGACATCCCATTAAGATTCACGTCAGAACGACTTTTCGCGAACTTTGACCAACCACTGAAAATACCAACAAGAAGTCGACATCAGTCAATTAGAAAGTAGCTTTCTCGAGCTTCACGGCACTCGTTTCAAATCGAAGATGATCTTTCTACAACGATTTCAACACTAAAAAATGGACGATGAACAGTGATCAGAGGTTGATTTTGGTTCATTAGATGTGCACTGGATCGATAGTGACGGTCTTGATGCAATATAGTAGTTACTGGGTCAAGCAAATGAGACAAAACCATCTGCAGTTCCCTTTAAGTTAAAGAATAACCCGTGGATGACACGCCCACTGAGAGTGAAGGGGGATTCCCCAAACTTAGTGAAGAAACACTGGATGATATTGAAGCACAAATGCATTCAGCATCAACATTGCAAAACACGAAATGGGTTCTTAAGGGGTTCAGCGGTGAGCGTATCCTGCCCAAACGATGGCACCGTCACAAACACATGCAAAGGCAAGTCAACTGTCACCTGAAAAAACACACGGGAACATATGGTACAAGTCAAAATAGGAAATTGCATCTACCACCCAAAGCGAATTACAAATGTTCCTGGTTTGTATGTACTCACTCACATAGTTTAACCAACATCTGAAAAAAACACATAAATCCAAGATGCCATCGCCTACTTTCTATGAAAACACGTAGTATCTTTCTGTGTACTGCTGTTTGACGATGTAAAATGAATATCTGTTTGACTTCTGAGGGGCAAATAAAGTACACCCAGCCTGTTTGTTTTTTTGTAATTGAAAACTGAAAGTTGAAAGAACTGTTGTTAAATGTGATTACATGTATGTCTAACCGTCACTCATTCCTGCAACAGGATCCATGAAGATCCGGGGTAGAATAGATCTTCAGCAACCATGCTTGCCGTAAAAGACGACTATGGTTGTCGTAAGAGGCGACTCCCGGGATGGGTGGTTAGGTTCGCTGAATGGGTTGATAAATGTCATGGATCCCAAATGCATGGATCGATGCTCATGATGTCAATCACTTGATTGTCTGGCCCAGACTCGATTATTTACAGACCGCAGTCATATAGCTGGAATATTGCTGAGTGCGGTGTTAAACAAGAAACAATTATTCCTGCAACAGTATGTAAAAGGTGATCTGTGTAATAATAAAATGGTTCAACGAAGTCATTTGCTATGTTTCACTTTAAAAGAGACATATACTGAGTCAAATTAAAAACTTCACATTTTTAAAAGTAATCTCATATGTGATATACAACGGACAAATGTATCAGAGAAGGTAATTTTCAATCATTAATGTCCAAAGAAGGATTTTAATTGACGCTGGTAACCATAATTTGTTCCAAGCACCTACGGTATTCGGTAATAACATCAACAGTTTAAATCATAAGTCCCAAGCAGGAGAATCTGATGGCACACAAGTTCAGTAGCGTGTATGGCCACCATGTGCGTTGACAACTGCCACACAATACCTCCACATGGACCTTGTGATGCTTGTGAACACATGATTGGGAAGACGACGCCATTGTTGCTGCAAAATGGTGCCAAGATCTTGCAAATTCTGTGGTTGGTTCTGGAGAGTGCGCAGACTCCTTCCAAGAGCATCCCAGACGTGTTCGAAGGGATTGAGGTCGGGAGACCTTGACGGCCAGTCCATGACGTTGACTCCCGCATTCTGAAGGAAATTCCTTGTCAAAATTGTTGTGTGGGGTCTGGCATTGTCGTGTTGGAAGATGAAACCGGGTCCATGTGCTGCCATAACATGCAGAAGTTCTGGTGCCAGTACCTGGTCGCGGTAAGCAGCAGCATTGAGGTTGCCACGAATGACAAGAAGTCTGGAACGTGCATTGCCACAGAAAGCACCCCACACCATGACACTTCCGCCTCGAAATCTGTCAACTTCCTGTACACAACACTGGGCGTAACGTTCATGACGGCGCCTCACAACCCTCGCCCTACCATCAGCATAGTGAAGATTAAATCGGGATTCATCACTGAAGACGACTTGATTCCAATTCCTGTGCCCACAATTGACGTTGACGTCTGTGTAATTGAGTCAGAATCGGCCCGCAGTATTGCCGTCGTCCTTGAAGGTGAGCAGTTCTCAGACGGTTTCGAACAGTTTGCGCACTCAGTCTACCCCTAAACAATTCATTTCAGGTTGATGTAGCCATCAAAAATCGGTTACGGAGGTGACTTTAGACGATCTGACGATCCTTTGCATGTGAGGTCACACGTGGTCGACCTGGTACCCGTTTGTTGTAGACGCGTCATAAACAGTCCGTCGACTACGACCCATCGTCCTTGCGACTTCAGCTACGGACGTTCCCGTCTGCAACATGCCGATGGCACGTTCACGTGGCACAATTGAAAGGCGTGGCATGACAACTGGCCGGAAAGACTTTTGTTTTCTTGTGTTTTTCTTTTTTTGTTAATGACTGCTAACAAGTATGGCTAAAAACACGTGCGGTATTATGGCCACGTGACTAGTTGCACGTGAAAAACAACTTTTGCCCATATAGTGATGTGTACATGACTTTGATCAATTCACCTGCACAAAAACGGGTGTTATCTGAAGACAATACCTGGCCATTACTGTTTAAATACACAATAAGGGCCCATAATGATAACTGGTCAAAATGTTAAAATTTTAGGATTGTGAAGTTTTTAATTTGGTTCAGTATATATACTTCATTCTCCATGTATTTTATATTGATACTACCGAGGTATGCATGGTGCATACATTGTTATCAAAATTGCCAACATAAACATCTATCAGTGCATACATATGTGTAATGAGACATCGTTTCCGCGTTATCTCCCGGAAGTGACGTTTGTGTCACAGTGAAGGAAGTTGAATGTCCAGGTAGGTGTGTTGTGTCTCGTCTCTCACTTTGTCGCCGGATAACTGTTCGATAATCAGGGTCACAACTTCCATGTATATGTCAAGACAATATCAGGCTGCTGAAGGTGGTATCTATACCTCTATTCATACAGCGAAAAGCTGGGATATTAGTGTTGACTGACTGCCACACATTTCTACCCTCGGTTTACAATGAGTGCAGTCGTTATTCATACAAGTCATGACCTACTTTAACTACTGTTATATTGTGCATAGATAAGCCCCGGTCGTGTCGAATAACCGTTGACGCGCGGTGTGTACAGACAAGTACCTCTCAACACTTCACTGCTATTGATTGTACTTCAATGACATATCCTGAATGGAAACTCACGCGTTGTTACTGTGATGGTATTTGTGGTCGCTTTGTGATCCTGAATGCAGAGTAAAGGAACTGGTTCTACTTTTCTTGAGTTCATTGAGTGTATATGGTGTATCTGAATGCACATGTATAGTGAGGCTATGCATCATTGTCGTGTGCTGCAACCAGATATTGCCAAACAGTTATCTAGCCAGTGACAAAAATCCTAAACTAATTTTGTTGATATTAGGTTCGTGAATTTGGCTTCAGGGAGATTATTTCAAGGAGCTATATCTTTTATTTGTTTGTTTGGTTGTTGTTTAACGCCGCACCGCAATATTCCATCTATGTCACGGTTGTCTGTCCAAAATTAGAACAGACAGTCCAGTGATTGACATCATGGCATGGTGCCAAATATGACAGGCTGACTATGAGAATGTGTGTGCATGTTTTGTATCATACTGAGCTGTGCCCCAATAGATAAGAGCACAGTTGATTGATACGTGTCACTACGTTGATTGGAAACAGCTCTAGGTCCCTCATTTAAGTTTTCTGTCTTCCAGAATGGACGCCTTCCCAAAGTGTTCTGTCTGTCAGCAGCAGTTTACCCTGAAAGGTCCAGTCCCCTACTTACTGCCCTGTCTACACGCTGTGTGTGAGACGTGTGTGACATCTGCAGCTGGTGGTGTGATATCATGCTCTACATGTCAGAGGGAGGTCAACCTCACAGACACAGGCCTCCAGAAGGATGCAGCGAGACAGAAGGAAATATTCCACGTGACAGTCAAACATCGCCCCACAGAGCTTCTCTGTACAAATGAAGATGACGGGAACCAGGCTGTGTGTTGGTGTCAGGAGTGTGAAGACTTCCTCTGTGAATATTGCCAGAACATCCACAGCAGCGTCAAACTTACCAGGAAACATGTACTTCAAAACTTCAGTGACATGGCACCGACTGCTTCGAATATTCCAGCCTTCTGCAGTATCCATAAACACCACCCCCTTTATCTGTTTGATAAAAATTGCAAGAAGTTAATCTGTGCGAAATGTAGGTTTGATGACCACGCAGACCATGAAGTTGTGGAGCTGGATATGGTTGCTGATACTGTAACAAAACAGTTGAACCATCATACGGATGAGCTATCAAAGTTACAGGCTCGCCAGCAATCACACATGCAGAGCATCAGACAGGGAACCGAATCCACCGACAGAACAAACGGCTCTTTGATAGAAACTATTGGTCACACATTCCAATCTCTGAGATCACAACTTGACCAAAGAGAGATGGAACTTCTGATCGATCTTGAAAGTCAGACGAAGGAGACCAAGGCAACTCTACATGCCCATCTCTTCACCTGTGAAGAAGAATGGAAGACATGCACTGGGCTTTAGACTACATCGCCAAAGTCTTCCTCTATGCCTCGAAGTCAGACCTCGTGGAACTGGAGACTTATGTAGGGGACCTAACTCGGAACTATCTAGAAACTGCTGCACCTCAAACACATGTCGTACCTACAGCTGTCTTCAACATCAACAGCTTGTCAACACTGAAATCAAACATATCAGTGTTTGGTGCCATTTTGCCAAGGGGAGTGGATGAGGAATCTGTGAAAGGTATTCACATTGAACATCATTGTAGTTTTGGTTATTCTTTGTATGTGTACAATGTTTGCATGTTCTTGTGACATTCTATCGTTTAAACCCCCCTTTTTCTTCACGTGTTTCACTATTTAAGACTCATGCTTTGTTTTGTTTTTAAAGTTTGTAGACTGCACTTAACACGTTCCCGATGTTAATCATCAGTAGTTATTCGTCTGTTGTTTCAGACAAGGATACTCAGACTGACGCTGACTTTATGGCAGACTTGGAAATGAAACACAAAATGGTGAGTACAATCAGTGTTGGTACATCATGAATTCTTGCATGCACACTGACCAACAAACTGACCAACTACAGGTTGATCCAAAGCAAATTTGCCTCAATCGCCATCACTTTGTTTTATCATATTGAGACAAAGTGCATCAGACCATTTAACGCTTGTATTTTTTGCAGGACCTAACAGAGCTGAAGACGAAAATTGGTTCAGATGAGAAACATATGCAGGGCCTCAAAACACTTACAGACAAGCTCAATGCTGAAATCAAAAGCTTGAAATCGGTTTGTTTTTATTATCTTACATGTATTCACATCTTTAGACATGTCAGCGTCTACCCTTATATTCAAATATGTTTGTTACAAAGGAAACATCACATTCTGAAATCACAATATTTTAAACATTTTAAAGCTGTTGTGCGCTTGTTAACACAATGATTCCCTTTCCTTCATTTTAAACATCCCAGTTAGGATTGATCATTTGAGATGATGGTAAGCGTGTGTGTGTGGGGGGGTGTGTGTGTTTGTTCTCTGAATAAATGGCCATCCCCTTAATCTTAAAGCGCCTCTCACTACACATGAGAGTGTCATGAATTCTTGATATAGATTGCAACCGTAAATTTTTTCACGTCCTTCAAATTCTAGACCCGTGAAATGCCATGACAGGCGCGTGCCTTGTTATATAACACATAAGCTATATTTTCAGTGCATTGACGAGAAGGAAACCTCAGAGAAGAGAGCCTCTAAAACCATGGATGTCTTACTTGGTAAATTTGTCATACTTCTTCTTTGACCTCCCTTAATCACATAATTTCAGATACATTTGACAACTGAACATGCATCTCCATGTCCGAGAGTGGTAAACAAAGTAAAACCCACACACAAAGTCCCTTTGTCTCATCATACATATATATGGTCATGTATATATATTGATTTTACAGGTGTGGCCACAGATTGCGGTGTTCATCTGCTGAAGTCAGGAGTTGTAGACAGATCTATGGTGCTGAAGTGTGAGTACATTTATCATGTATCTCCTTCGATAAAAGTTTTGATGTACATCGTGTTCAAGTAATATGAAACGTCAACACGTATGGAACATTTAGTCACCCACTACGATTGAGGGGCATAGAGTAGCTAATTGGCTCATGCTTGGGCTAATGAAGGTCAGGCGCTGGCAGTCTTTGTGTGTCATTGGCTTGTTTACCTGGCCCATGTTAATTACTTACAGGACACGTTGGTAACTGTGTACAACATCAGTTATTATAGCGTAATGTTGCTACATGATTAATTCACAACGCGTTGGTGTGACGTTGATTTATTAATGATTATTTGTATATTTTATATTCACGGGGTCGGTGTTCGGTTCTCGGTAGGAAGTGACAACATGGAGTCGAAGGCTTGCACTATATACACACTGCTTTAGACAGGTAGATATATGTATATACAAGAAGCACTAGGTGCCAGGGCAGCACAATCTGTTGGTGCCACGGATCGCCTGACCTACCCCTAGCTAGGCTTGGGGTGCGGCTATATTCTTTGTCACAAGTCCAAAGATTTTATATCCATGGTCAACAGATACGGAATAAGTCAAAAATAAAAACAACAGTAAATAATGAGTGACAAAGTTGCACAGCTCGTTCAGGATGGCTGACAGTCGACGTACATTACAATTGAGATTTGCATATTTTAAGTAATTGCAATTAAGATAATAGACATATATATTTTATGGCTACAGGGTACTTCGCCTTTGTTCATGCAGACAAAGGTCGCTATAACAAATCTTACCCACCATATCATCGTCTTGGAAATGTTTACCTTAAAGTGAACCAATGACAGTTGCCATAAGTAGACATTCCCCCTGCCTATGGTAGCACGAAAAATATTAGCCAGAGGGGTGAGTGAGTGTATTGTGATTAACGCCACTTTAAAGATCAATTCTGTTATACGATTTGGTAGCAGCTTAACATAGGTGAAAACCCCGAAGTAATGCAGGTCTTAGACCTTCAACCTTCTGATGAAGAACCCATGAGCTGACAAATGATATTCTGGGCTAATTTTGAAATCAAACCAAATATCACACAATTCTGGCACGCCTCGATATAACGAATAAGTTAGAAGTAAAACAAACATAGTATATTCTAAAGTCCAGTGCCTTGGTGACACAAAAGAGTGAATGCGCGAATTGGGTTGAACCCCTCTTTAAAAAGTATTTCCGTGATTTACAGACATGTCAGCATGTGCGTGATGAACGGACAAAGTGATACAGGCATTAGGCAGTTGTTATGTATGAGGTGCTGACAAACATGATCAGGGAGAATCTTGGATTAGAATCCACGAGCATAGGTTTCTGAAATTCGCCAGCAAATTGGGAAGCCAGAGGCGACTTGGCCACCAATGCCAATTACGAGATGGGGGATGACAGTGGTTTCAGTGGTTTCCAACAGTGTTTCCAACTGCAGCTATAATTTATCGAGGAAATGAGCAGGAAAATACCGACTGAAATATTCCAGCAACATGACAGCGGTCTGTAAATATTCGAGATCGAGTCTGGATCAGACAATCCAGTTATTGATATTATGAGCATCGATCCACCATGCAATTGGGATACGATGACATGCATCAACTATGTCAGCGAGCCTGAGCACCCGCTGTGAAGAAATGAGTGAGGAAAGAAGTGAGGGGGGTGGGGGAGGGATGGGCGGTGACAGTTGTTTCAAACAGTGTTTCACACTACAGCTGTAACCTATCGAGGAAATGAGCAGAAAAATAAAGACTGAAAGAATAATCACGGACCACGGACATTGGAGACACACACTGCCAACACCTTGGCCACCCGACCGCCATCTCAGACGACGTAATGGGGGCCTTAGAGAGAAGAAAGACGATGCAATCACTGTAACGCCAGGCAGACATTTTCACATGTTTGATGCACTCTCGGGATGTTCTGTATATCGTGCAATATCTGGGAAGTTCGTTCTACTTCTAAGATTTAATATCAGAAACATTTAAACATGAGCCTCACAATAATAAAAACCGAGCCAGTATGAAGTTGTCAGTTTTAATCGTGAGTACCATGTACAGGCAGGCACAGTGGACTGTTTACCCGCTTAATGGGTCATATTGTTACTATTAACCCTGTTGTGCATGGTGTTGTGCATGTGTGAATAACTTCAAGTACATCAATAGTCTCGTGTAGGTAAAGACACCGTGTTACTGAGACTTGACAATATAGTCTCACAGACTTGGTTCTTGATAACCTGTGTATCTCTCACGTGTGAATACAAATGTGTGTTGTGATGTGTTAAGTGAGTGAGTGAGTGAGTTGGGTTTAACGCCGCTTTAAACAGTATTCCAGTCATATCACGGTGTGCCAGCTTAATGTGGGAGGAAAGCCCGAAGTGATGCAGGTCTCAGACGTTTACCACTTCGGTGAAACCCACGAGCACGGGTATGGTGCTGACAAACCTAGAAACATAATCGGGGCGAACCGGGATTCGAACCCACAATCATAGGTTTCTGGCATGCCCAAGGGACGCAACTCTGCACAGCGAATCGCGGCGCCTCAGACGACTGGGCCACCCGTGACCCCTGGTGTGTTCCAGTGTAATGAAACAGCGATTGCATCACGTTGAACATTCTTTATACACTGTTTGTCTCTAAATACGTGGATATCAAGGTTCACAAGTTAAGATTTAAGACACTGCATGTATGTCGTGTCATTGTTCTTGCATCCACCTCCTAACCTGCCGATATCTTAAAAATTATATTATTACTTCCTTTGTTTGTATAGGATGGACGGCCACTTGTGAAACGGAAAATTTATTGGCGATAATATATTTTAAAGGCGAAATAGAGTTTGAAACATTGTATGTAGCCTTATTACAAAACAATACCAAGACGTATCGAGTGATTGGAATGAATGGATGCGACATAGGAAGGACTAGGTGTAACATACTTATCAACAGAACATGTTGGCGATGCATTGTAAGGGTACAAACAATCAAGGAAGGCGACATTGGTGTGTTGTCAAAAACATAAACGTTTGAGATGACTTGATCAATAATGAGTTATTCCCAACGTCTGGTCAAACTTTATTTATGCTCGACAAGGTCCGAATCAATCTCCCCATGAAAATTTGCGGGATTCTTGTCAATTAATCTCGCAACGGCTGGCCCAATTCGGTTAACGGCAGCCCTTGACGTCGGCGTACACGTCCCCGGATTATGCGTTATAGGGGAGAGATCAGAACTCATGGCTGCTCATTGCAATATTGTGATGTTTTGCAGTTGGAGGTACTCATGAACAATACGTACACCGTGGGCACGATCATTATCGTCTTGAAAGGCAAAACGTGGACTAGCATGCAGCGAAAACGGAACTACTATCGTCGCTAGCATGCTATCTCGGTAGTACTGTCCAGTGACCGTCTTACATGTATGGACAATATGCAGTGGCGTTCTGGCAGTCATAGTGATCCTGCCCAATATCAGTACAGAGCTCGGAGCGATTTTGACAAAATCAAGAATGACCCCTTAGCCAGTGCACGGAGGAACTGCATGACCCACGTGAGATGTTTCGGGTGTGTTGGGGCGTTAGGTTTTGGTTCCAAAAACTGTTCAATTTCTGGCATCCAAATCTCTGGCGTGTCCAATGGACGCAACTCTGCACAGCTAATCGCGTTTTTCTTCTGACGACCAATGGTAACATTTCTCAACATCATGTGCAGTTTTGGAGAGCATAGACCGTTGCGATAGGTATAGTTACAATCATAGAAAACTGAAGCAAATAATATTGAAATATCACATCATCAATGAGGCATTATTCAAAATACAAAATACACTTACTGCTGATGAGTAAATATGACATAGGTCTTGGGTGAGGTGAGGTGAAATTGGGTTTAACGTCGCGTCCATGATTATTGCACTTGTGTGTGGCTGCTTCTAATAGTCCGGACTGATGCCGATTTACATGCTTGCTCAATGAGATACCATGCCACAGTTTAACATGAATACCCCACTCAGACACAGTATACTGACTCCAAGCCGACCAGTCCTTGTTTTAGCCCCTTAATGTCCAGCCTCAGACATGGTAACAACAAGTATCATCTTTTAACGTCTTTCGGTATGACGAAATGGAAAAAGAAATGTTCCGTTGACAAACTGTACCAGTTATCGCCATCATCTAAACAGCACGTGCCACGTGATAAAGCACACCGCTTCAGTTTTACAAATTACATTTTTTATTTTCTCTGGTATCACAAGCTGTTTTTATATTTGTTACAGTTAATAAGAAATGCTTTTATCAATTTGTCGTCTGCAAACTGACTTAGACCAATGTGATTTGCACGCTATGTACTATGGATTTCGCGATATATACAGGGTTATTCACATTTGGAAAATAGCTCAAATAGGTTTTAGAATTCTTTTGGGGGGTAGAAATGACAGACTGAAAGTAAGCTATGACAGATCTGAAAGTGCATCATCGTGTTGTTGGAATTTTGTTTCCGCGTCAGTTAGTCACGTGACACCGCCCGCGTGTCTCTTCTATTGTATTTGAGCAAGGTGATTATATGGTATGTTGTTGTTTTTAATATTTATTCACAGGAGTAATTTTTGTTTATCATTTGTAGATACATATTTCTCTCTTCTAATGAAACCGAGCAAAGGTAAAACGAGATGAGATCACGTGTGCGTTGTAGCGAGGACTAAGCGATAATTGGTTTTCGTCGACAGCTGGTCACTGGTCAATTTTCACAGTGACATGCATGTTCACAATTAGTTAACGCGAAAGTTCTCTTTCCACTCAGTAATTCCTTCTCTGTGGTACAATAGAAATCAACCTATATTTTGTCCACGCAATGACATAAGCGCATTTGATCTTAATTTCACAAAACCAAACGTTTGTCGTGATGTTTTCGAAACCAATTTTCAGAAATCATAAGAATGAAATTGACAACAATTGTTCATCTGCTGGCATCTGCTTTTGAAACTGAGAGCAATTAAATATCACGCGCCTCGGCTGGAGCGGTGTCGACATGATTTGCTCGTTCTGGGCGTGTGGCTGGTCTATTTCGCACGTGCCGCACGACGTTTATTCTGACAGCAATGCACGAGGACATTTCAAAATATATTTGTATGTTTACAATTAATTTAATTGCTGTTTCGTCTCAGCATTTTTTCGTTAACAGAAGAACACTATAACATACTCAAAATAATAAAATAGCAGAATGTTCCAGAAATATTTCAAACATGACTTGTTCACTACATTTAATGTCGCTTATTGTTTATTGTGTTATTGACTGTTTGTGTCCTGTTCTGATAATGCTGCCCATCTACTGAGAGCAATTAAATATCACGCGCCTCGGCTGGAGCGGTGTCGACATGATTTGCTCGTTCTGGGCGTGTGGCTGGTCTATTTCGCACGTGCCGCACGACGTTTATTCTGACAGCAAAGCACGAGGACATTTCAAAATATATTTGTATGTTTACAATTAATTTAATTGCTGTTTCGTCTCAACATTTTTTCGTTTACAGAAGAACACTATAACATACTCCAAATAATAAAATAGCAGAATGTTCCAGAAATATTTCAAACATGACTTGTTCACTACATTTAATGTCGCTTATTGTTTATTGTGTTATTGACTGTTTGTGTCCTGTTCTGATAATGCTGCCCATCTACTGTATCCCATCGCCAAGCACCCAGCCCCATGTGGTGTCCTCCAACGTGCTACACCAGGCCACGTGACACTGTGATCTCAACATCCTTATTTCAAGCTTCTTCCTCATTATACCGCGTTCACTCGTGTTTCTGTTAAACGACGGTGAACAACTGTGATCGCGAGTATTCGCGCTCTGCGTGATTATTGCGCGATGTGTATCCTTTTGTTTTAGTAATTCAGAATCTCCACTGCAAATATTTCAGTGACGAACCTTTTACACCAGACCTGTTACTAACTTATTTTACATTCGGGTTAAAAGATTACAGTATACATACATTAAAATGTAATACACAGAAGGTCTGATGTTCATACTACTGCACTGTGATTATATTACATCATTTGTATGTCAGTACATTGTACTAAGCTGTGCATTCCTTGCAATTGGATATTTTAGTACAACTTTAATATCCCAATTTGTCTCATGTGTTATTCTCTTGTAAACTACATTCATATGTTGTAGGTATACATCTGAAGTATGACAAAGACAGAGTCAATCTCGACAAAGCCCACATCAACACAGAAGGAGACCTGGTCAACAGGAAGTCGGACACCAGACCTGCAGGGGAGGGGAGACTGAAGAAGTACCATGGCACATGTAGCACTGCCCCCCTCCACCGGCCTGGCTGTCCCCAGTACTGGGAGATGAAGTCGAGGGTCAGTCTGGACAAACCACTCACAGAGGGCCACCTCATCCTGGAGGTGGGTGTATGCAGGGGGGAGCAGATGGACATGTCTCATTGTATCAGTGCACTACCAAGCTCCCACACCATGGCCGTCTCCCTCTGTCCTACACACGGCGGGATATGCAGGAAGACATGGAAGGAGGGGAAGCATGTGCTGTGTCTGCCTGACACTCTCACCGACACAGCAGAGACATCACACACACTGCATTACGGTGTTGTCTATGATGACGCCAGGAAGAAGATTGTCTTCATTGATGTGAAGGAGAACAAAGTGATATCGACGTTTGACAATGTATACTCTAGTCAGCCACTGTGGCCGATGTTCGGGGTGTATAACCCACGTCGCCTCACTGTCAGCATGACACTTGTAGTGGGCAGCGACATCAACATGACAGAGGAGAAGAAAGCAATGATTGTTAAGGCGCTGTCGTGATGGTGACAATGATTGTCAAGGCGCTGTCGTGATGGTGACAATGATTGTCAAGGCGCTGTCGTCATGGTGACAATGATTGTTAAGGCGTTGTCGTGATGGTGACAATGATTGTTAAGGCGCCGTCGTGATGGTGACAGTGATTGTCAAGGCGTTGTCGTGATGGTGACAATGATTGTTAAGGCGCTGTCGTGATGGTGACAATGGTTGTCAAGGCACCGTCGTGATGGTGACAATGATTGGAAAGGCACCGTCGTGATGGTGACAATGATTGTCAAGGCGTTAACATGATGATGACAATGATTGTCAAGTCGTTGTCGTGATGGTGACAATGATTGTTAAGGGGCTGTCGTGATAGTGACAATGATTGTCAAGGCGCTGTCGTCATGGTGACAATGATTGTTAAGGCGTTGTCGTGATGGTGACAATGATTGTTAAGGCGCCGTCGTGATGGTGACAATGATTATTAGGCCGTCGTGATGCCGACAATGATTGTCAAGGCGCTGTCGTGATGGTGACAATGATTGTTAAGGCACTGTCGTGATGGTGACAATGATTGTCAAGGCGTTGTCGTGATGGTGACAATGATTGTTAAGGCGCTGTCGTGATGGTGACACTGATTGTAAAGGCGTTGTCGTGATGGTGGCAATAATTGTTAAGGCGCCTTCGTGATGGTGACAATGATTGTCAAAGCGTTGTCGTGATGGTGACAATGATTGTTAAGGCGCTGTCGTGATGGTGACACTGATTGTCAAGGCGTTGTCGTGATGTTTGCAATAATTGTTAAGGCGCCGTCGTCATGGTGACAATGATTGTCAAGGCGTTGTCGTGATGGTGACAATGATTGGAAAGGCGCCGTCGTGATGTTGACAATGATTGTCAAGGCGCTGTCGTGATGGTGGCAATGATTGTCAAGGTGTTAACATGATGTTGACAATGATTGGAAAGGCGCCGTCGAGATGGTGACAATGATTGTCAAGGGCTGTCGTGATAGTGGCAATGATTGTCAAGGCGTTAACATGATGGTGACAATGATTGTCAAGGCACTGTCGAGATGGTGACAATGATCGTGATATGAACACACAGATCTGCTCAAAACCAACTACATGAGTCGAACATGTCTTCTCTGTGAAAGAAGGCATATCCTATACCTATCAACTATAACCCCCTGAACCTGTAATCTTGATGTGATATGTGTAAATGTATATAACATTTAGATAAAAGGTAAAACGTTTTTGTTTGTTTGTTCATTTGTTTGTTCGTTGTTTAACGCCGCACTCAACAATATTCCAGCTATATGATGGTGATCGTTAACTAATTGAGTCTGGACCAGACAATTCAGTGATTGGCGTCAAGACCATCTATCTACGCTTTTGGGATACGATGGCATGCATCAACCAAGTCAGCGAGCCTCACCATCCAATCGTATTTGTCCCCTCTTACACGCATAGTCGCCTCTCACAACTTACACGTGTTGCTGAAGACCTATTCTTACTTTGATCTTCATGGGTGACGTAAATCTATCATGGTACATGGTACGACACACAATCAGGCAAGTCGCCGAACCTGACCAATCGATGGATGCTCTCGCCTCGTTTTGCATGCTGACAGGGGATAGCAGTGTGATTTCTTTAGATGTTTATCAAACAAAATAAAGTAAGTGACATTGCGATAAGCTATTGTTTTGAAAATAATATTTTACTTAAAACTTGCTGATTTGCAGGACGAAGGAGGGCAGTTTAAAAGATGGAGGGCTTCTGCGAATGATTATTACCAGCAAAAATAGCGTTACCGTTATTATAGCTAAAATATATAGAATTTGTTTTCAGATAAATATAATCATCAATATCGGTTTTTAAATATTTACTGCAAACAACGAATGCCACTGAAGAACAAATCAGATGACGTCAAAGCTGACTCCCTAACAACGGGAGTCAAGCAATATGAGGGCATTATCAGGTTACAATGGTCCACTCACTTTTGATAACACGCGGGTAGTTTAATGATAATTCTCCCCATTCTAGCTATAATGCTTGTCATCGTATCCCAATTGCGTAGATCGATGCTCATGATGTCAATCACTGAATTGCTTGGTCAAGATTTGAATATTTATAGACCGCTGTCATATAACTCGACAATTGCTGAATGTGTCGTTAAACAACTAACAAACAAAAAAATGCATGGACGTGTGATGACACAGTTTGTAGCAATATGCCGAGGAACACCAGAAATGGACTTTACTAATTGTCCCCATGCAAGTGGACAATCGATGTGAAAACCTTAACCATTATAAACTGATTTTTCTAATATTATTTCGCAATGTTCCTCAATAACATTTGTTGAATATGTGTACAGTTTCCAAAAACGATTTCAAGGCAACAAGCTGGTATCATGTGGAGATGAAGGTTGAAATAACTCATAAGCTGTTTCATATTTAGTAACATAATGTGAAACATAGTATATACCTTATGCATGTGCTGCCACTAACACTTTCACCACCAACACCACCAACATCAACAACATCAACAACACCACCAACCCCAGCATCAACACCACCGACACGACCACCAACAACACGCACGACCACTAACACCACCAACTACACCAATACCAACAACAGCAAGATCAACACCAACAACACAAACAACAACAACAACAACCCCAGCAACAAACACCACCGACACGACCACCAACAACACCAACACAACACCAACAACGACACCACCCCCCTTCCTCCGTGTGGAAGGAGGTGGAGAATACATCACCCTAGGTGCACCTGCTGCGACTAAGAAGGCCACGAGATAACAACAGAAGACAACCATGACTTATGGAAGAGAAACTGTGTTAATATAAACAGCAGGTCTTATGACTGCCTTGATTCGTTGATGAGTTGATGGTATGCCGGGGGTATGAAATAACCTTGGTCACGGTTGATCGACGGTTAGAGTCTTTTGATGTTGATGGCTTCTTGTATTTTTGTGATTTTGAAGTCTTTGAGGTTGGTGGTGAGGTCTTTTGACTTTATCCCACTGGATGCTTTGGCTTGGGTTGTCATGGATATGGTCTGGATATCGCCGTCTGACGTAACGTCCTTTGATTCCCATATCGAACTAGATGTACATGCAGTTGCGTCGTTGAAGCTGTCTGACGTAACGTCATCGGATTCCCCTTCCGAACTCGACGTACATGTAGTTGCGTCGTCTAAGCTGTCTGACGTAACGTCGTCGGATTCCCCTTCCGAACTAGACGTACATGTAGCTGCGTCGTTTAAGCTGTCTGACGTAACGTCGTCGGATTCCCCTTCCGAACTAGACGTAACATGTTGAAGCGTCCCTGTCTCTGTCTGACGTGGCAGCTTTGGTACCCCATTCTTAAGAACTTTCATTTTTTTTGTAAAAACATATTTATCATCATATTGTACTGAATGGCCAAATATTATAAAATTTGTAAAACTCTTATCAACAACAAACACACAGGATCTAAAGAATGTATCGAGATTTATTGTAAAAATGTCCATTCGTATATAAAAATGCTAGGTAATCACATGTTGTTATTAACTGCCATCTTGTCTGCAATTTGTACATATACATAATTATTTATTGTAATGTGCTCTTTGACCACCTTTTGTGTTTTTTTAGAATAAACTGATTCTGATTCTGATTCTGATTCTGATTCTGAACACACTACATTTTGGTAGAGATTTCTTATGATAATGGAAATGTTGTTTTTTTCATCTTAGTTAAATGCAATCTGCAAAATAAAATTATGTTACTGATCATTATATTGTTATTTGCTTACAAATTTGTAGGTAAATTAAATATTTTCCTTTTTGGGGTCGCACTGTGGATGAAATACTTACGTTTCCCAGAGGTGGTGAGGAGAAATAGGGTATAACGTCGCGTCTAAGATTATTACACTTATACAGTGACGTGCGTCCGTGCGTCCGTGCGTGCGTGCGTGCGTGCGTGCGTGGGTGCCTGCGTGCGACCGTCTTATTTCTTATAAAGCACATTGGATTCGAATCTCAGGTTATCACAGAATGTTATGGAGTTCACAGTATCTCGACATCGGAGAGAAGCCTTCGTAAAATAGCACGACTACAATTTAACCGAGAATGCTGTGTTGATATGAGATCTTGGATTAGTTTTGCTCTCCTAATGGCGTGTGTGCTGAGTTATAATAAAAAAATTATCGAAAAAATCAGATCAGGCGCTAAAACAACCGTATGACGCGGAACCTCCTTTTTAATCGGTTATCGGCTCAACACGTGGTTTTCGGACATTGGTCGAAGCGTGTCATCTCGGTATTGGCGCCCCTGACCGTTGTCCGGGACATGACCATCGATCTTACATAGCTTGGTTTGGAGTCACTTGGATAGTTCTTGGACGTTTCAGTGACGTGCGATGAAGAGAGAAAGAGAGATAGAGAGAGAGGGGGGGGGAGGGAGAGGGAGGGAGAGAGAGAGAGAGAGACGGGGGGAGAGAGAGAGGGAGAGGGAGAGCGCAAATCGTCCTGTATGTCGTCGGTATAAATCTCATCGTCGGCTTGTCGTACAAAGCAACTACATTGAATCGGGTGGTCACAGGCTCATGATCAGTGACTTGCCTGAATGCTTGACATTGAACCCGACGAGACGGGATGTTACTGATGAAGCCAGACACTGGGTGGACTCAAATATTTACAGACCGCAGTGATATAGCTGGCACATGGCGGAGTGTAAATACACACAAACACACATACATATCATCATCATCATCATCATCATCATCTTCATCTGCTCAATGTTATAAGAGGGAAATCAATAGAGGACAGTTGTCTTGTCTTGTCAGATCTATAATGTGTTACTCTTATCAAGTGACTGGTATTTTCACGAGTGGAGCAGCCACAAGTTAATCTCTTAACTTTGCAGATAAGATAAACATGGTGTTTGACGAGAAAATTAAGAATGTTCCGCTTATCATGTTTTTGTGGACTGAAAGTCGTTCGGGAATGAAGCGCTATTTGTACATGTTATTTTACTCGAGTGGAACAACGATTATATATACTCTTCAAAAAAAGAAACGCTATGCCAGTTTTGTGTGAGGTAGGAAAATACATTTACACGAGCAACCGAAC